ATTGGCTCAACTTTTGATGACCCCTTCCTAAATATTTTGTGAAATTATACATTTTGTGTATGGATTCTAAGAAACAAGGTTGGCTCAACTAACTCCTTTGGGTCAACTTACCCCACTCTCCCCTACTGCTCTGTGTGATGATTGTCTGTGTGAATGTGTTAGCACATATTCAGGACTTAAACTTCCTACACTGTACATTCATAAGACCTGTTATTTAGGGAGAATAATCTTAAAAACATGAAACTGAGATTCTCATATATCCATGCACAAAAGCATGTAAGGTGGCAACCCATGAGTCCCATGCCATTGTTCCTAAGATAAACTCTCAACATCAGTTGGGAAGACTATCGCTTTGCCTTAAAAAGGAAAACATAATATTATCTTACAAACCTCAATACTAGATTTTTCTAGTTCCAGTTTCAAAGGCATGTTTCAATTGCTGTCCGAACAAGAGGCTGTTTAAATGAAGGGACAAGCTTAGCCACATAGGCCTTCAAACATAATCAACATTATTTGACATTCCAGTGACAGCTGGAGTAGAGCAGTTTCAGGGAACACATATGGCTTAAAATCTGCTCCTTACAAAGATAGTATTTTGAGATATATATTTAACAGATTTAATTACATTTCCATCATTCAATGTCTGTATGTGTGTGTAACAGAGAGTGCAGGAGAATGGCATGCAATATATTTTAAATGATGTATTTCAAAGAATTTGAACTAACCCTAACCCAAGTATGTTTGGCTTTTGCTCAGAGTTTTTGATAACCAAGGCAACAACAAAAAAGTAGGTGAGCAGTGTTTCATAGAGGCCAGAGTTAAAACATGAAGACCAACTGCCGAAGTTGTTAATATAAAATAATAACAACAATAATAATAATATGCCGTTTATCAGACACTTTTATTCAAAGTGACCTACGGTCATGCGTGCATACATTTTACGTGTGTGTGGCCCCAGCGGGAATCAAACCCACGACCTTTGGCATTGTAAGCACCATGCTCTACCAACTGAGTCACACAGCCAACACACAACAATAAATTGATCAGAGAATATGAAAAAGGCATGGTTTGAGAATGTGCCTGACAACAAGGGCAACTGACTCAGACAGGGGGCAACAGGGTCAGTGTCACCCATTTTTAATTGCTTTATCGTTTTGTTTTTCCCAAGATAGAGAGGTTTACTGCGAGGCAAAGTCTACAGAGATATCAAAGGAGGAGAGGGACTGCTGAGCATGATAGGGGAGAGAAATAAAATAAAGAAATTAGTAACAATCTTTCATCAGGGATAAATGACCAGTATACCAAACACTAGATACATTTATGTTGAACTAGTAAGAGAAAAAGGGAACATAGTTATTGAGAAGCCAGACACCCATTATGCTCAGCCTGTGTTCACAATCCACAATGCACCCTTATGTTGAGAGCCACCATAAAAACCCTGTTATCTAGACAGAATGGCCAAAGGGCCAAGGTCTATTGGAGCATTGTGTGCTATGATGGCGTCTATAGCCGGTCATAAAGATGGGAGGGGGGAAAAGGACGGGTCAAAGTCAGTTGCTATTGGAGGCTCCTCACATGGCACTTAACCCCACCATTCCCTGTCATTTACCTTATATGTACTTCTGTTTAAGGTATTTCCAAGTGAGACATCATACACCCACCAGAAACACCTGAAGGTGCGACCTCAATCTATGGGCCTACCTACATTAGCTTGTAGCAATGAAGTATTATCTCTATCCTGTAGGAGGCAGTGTGCTATGGACAGCTTGTGGACAAAACTGGTGCTTGCTGGCTGTAACAGCAACTCCATGTGGAAGTTGCCTGTGTTCCAGTGGATATGCTGTTACCTGCAGAGAGTCACCCCAGCCAGCTCTGACATAGAATCAATGTGAAGAATATCACTGTCCTTGTTTATGGCCATATAATCCCTGTTATGATGTTTCTCCTCTTTTGGTTGAACTCAGTTACATTTGCTCCACCCACATTGTGATGTATTTTGTAATGAGAAATGTTGTATTATTAAGAACAGTCTCTAGATCATTTGACAAATATGAGCTCGTTGTTTTCTATAACAACATCAAGTGAAGGTATTTATGTACTCCAAACGTTGGTTTGAATGCAGAGTAGGGCTAAGAGAAGAATGGGACTCATGGTGATGACCTATGAATTGACAGCCAGTGTTTGCAACACAACTGCCTGTCAGTTATGTAGGCCACTGCCGTGTCTGTCCTACTGAGCACACACAGGTTTAGATGGAGAAAATTAGCTCATTGATATTTTTGATAAATTATCAGAAAACTGTGATGTATTTATGAGACCACTGATAATATCCTGTATAGTACACATTTGTAAGTTATTTGAAGCCAATACAATGTTTTTGTTGCCAACCTTGGAAATAAATACTGAAAACATCACTCTCTAATTATTTAAATAATATGATACCTGTTATAAATACATGACTGTTAGTGGGAAAAATCAACTATAAATTATAGATCTGGTAGAAGCTTAGCATTTATTGAGTGCTACCACAGGGTGGAGGTGTTGAGACATAAAACCTGCCTGGGAGGGGCTATTAAAAGTGAAAGCAAAAGGATTCCCAGATTTACTATCCTGAGACTCTCCCTTCCCACACCCCTTTACCCACTCTTACCCAATCTTTTAGTTCCACTAATCTTCCTACGGTTTATAAGAAATGACTGAACTCCATGAACTTACTTTCATTTTCACAATCCAGTCCCTGGATGAGTCACCTTCATGGTCCTCTGTAGCTCAGCTGGTAGAGCACGGCGCTTGTAACGCCAAGGTAGTGGGTTCGATCCCCGGGACCACCCATACACAAAAATGTATGCACGCATGACTGTAAGTCGCTTTGGATAAAAGCGTCTGCTAAATGGCTTATTATATTATTATTATTATTAATCAGCCCCCTCCTTTTCATTGCAGGAATATCACAGTGATATTACCAGTCAGAGCAGATTCACAGTGTACTTGATAAGAAACATATATTTTCATATCAGCTGTCAGATTTTCCACCTCAAACGTATAGCTTATCACTGTCCACTAGTGTGTGTGTATGTGTGTGTATGTGTGTGTCAACAATGTCAATATTTTGACCTCAACAGTAAACTCCATGAAGAAAGGTGACTGACTGAGTATGTGAGGCACACAATAACATTGCTAAGGGGTGGGTGGATAATAAAAACAGATACACATTATCTTTGGAAAAATGTAACACTCCAAATTAGCCTAAATAATTTCCTAAATATTTTTGGGGGAGGGAAAAACACCTCATTAATACTTAATTCACTGTTTGTCATTATATACCTTCCTTATTTTAGGCCATGCTGCTTCCATTTCATTTGCTCTAGTTTGTAATACATGTGAATGCAAGAATCTCAGTGATATTACCGGTCAAAGGAGTTTCACAGTGTACTTGATAAGAAACATATTTTCATATCAGCTGTCATGGTTTTCCACCTGTGTGTGTGTGGGTGTGTGTGTGATATGTCAACAATGTCACTCTTTTGACCTCAACAGTAGAATGATGGCTGACTGAGAATGTGAGACACACAAGAACATAAGTGGTGGATAATACAAAAAATACACATTATCTTTGGAAAAATGTAACACAAAAAAATTCCCTAAATAATTCCATAGATGTTTTTCCCAGGAGAAAAAAATAAATGTAGGGAATTATTAGGTTCCTTTTAATTCAGGGTGTGTCATTATACCACCTTCCTTGTTTAGGCCACATTGCTTCAATTTCATTTGCTCAAGTCAAGGTCGTAATAAATGTGAACAGTGTTGCCAACTTAACGACTTTGTCGCTATATTTAGCGAGTTTTCAGACCCCTCTAGCGACACATTTTCAAAAAAGTGACAAATCTAGTGTTATTGGAGACTTTTGGAGATTGACGTGAAAGCACGTATAGTTCTTACTCTTCTCAACGAGCAGCGTGTGCTGCCGTGGGCCCCACCCAGTCCCAAAGCACTCACAGGCGGCCCAGTCCTCGCGCAGCAGTCCCTCCCAGCTGCAGTCAGAGCAGGAGATGTTCACCCCTCTGCATCTAGACTGCAAATGAATCGCGCATGCGGGTAGCCGCCGCTGGCTGATCCCGCCCTGGCTTACATTCAGGGTGGGATGTAAATGTAGGGTGTTTTTTACTCACTTTTTGTCTCTCCCAAGAGTTATTCCTCTCTCCTACAGCATCCATCACAATTACATGCACATGGCCAATTATGCAAATTATGTGATTACTTAATTTAGCGACTTCTAGCGACTTTTAGGACAGCCAATAGCTACTTTCCTTACTGAGGAGTTGGCAACACTGAATGTGAACACTAACAGTTTTTTTTATCTGTCACCAGCATGTCAGACCGGAATGGTTGGGGTTTCCCTTTCAGATGAATAAAGCATGTGTTCATCAGACTTGTAGGGAGGGGGCTTTTAATTTGAAACCACCCCCTCTGTTGTATTTCCCAAAAAAATTTACTTGCCTTCTGACGTTCCACTCAGAAGGCTCGAGACCGGACTGGGGATTGGAGAAGCGCGGAGGAGAAGGTGTGAGGTTGTCTGACAAGGGAGAGTTTCTTATTCTGCTGCCAGCAAGAGCTGTAGTCGATAGTCTTGTAGTTTGAGTTCTAGGGGTAGAGAACGTATTTGGTAGTTTCATTCTTCTATTGTAAAACTAGATATAGGTAAGGAAATTCACTTAGACAGCTTTGAACAGATAAACAGGCTGTCAATTTACACCAACTGGGGTAGATAGCTAGTTAGCCAAAACCCCCACAGACTGTTATCACATTATCTTGAGTGAGGACGAGCAACACCCGGCTACCTAGCTAAACAAGGGTAGAAGACTAACAAATGTACTAATTCAAACGTATTACCGCATCGGGGACAGACACAGAGCCGTTATCCAGCGATAAACAACTTTACTACATTTAACAACTACATTGAGACGACAAGTAAATCTACAATAGTTGTGAATTCGGGCACCATGTTCAAAAGGAATGGCAAGAAGGACCCAGAACTATTCCAAAATGTGTCGGAGGGGCTGAAAAAACTGTACAAGACCAAACTCTTTCCCTTGGAAGATACCTACCACTTCCACGATTTCCATTCACCGGCTTTGGAAGATGCCGACTTTGACAACAAGCCTATGGTGCTCTTGGTTGGCCAATACTCCACGGGTAAAACCACATTCATCCGGCATCTTATGGAGCAAGATTTCCCCGGCATGCGGATAGGGCCTGAACCGACCACCGACTCCTTCATAGCGGTCATGCATGGCGAGCAGGAAGGGCTGATCCCAGGCAACGCTCTAGTAGTTGACCCCAAGAAACCCTTCAGAAAACTCAACGCTTTTGGCAACGCCTTTCTTAACAGGTGGGTCCCAGTCCAGTGTAACCAGCTAGATGCAAGCTATCTAACTAGGATAACTGGGAATATTTTTATGAATCCCACAGGGAATTAAAAGGATGGGCTGAGTTAGCCCATTCATATACGCTAACTACCTTTAGCGCTTATTTAGGATAGTATCATCTGGCCGGGGATGTTTTGTTAAGGAACGTATCTTTCATATCAGCGATAAATAATTTTCAAAAAACAAGAGGTTAAATTACTACACACCATTATAAGATTAGAGTTCCCAGACGGCCATGTTGCAGTGCTCGGTCTTCCATCTGAGTGAAACACGAAAACAGACTGACAGTCGACAACTTGTGCTATTTAGCGATATCTGCTCTACTAACACCTGTGTGTAAACGGAAGACAAAAGCCACAAACATGTTGTCACTGAAAAATACTGTCGCCTGCAACTGTTAAAACCTAACCATGTCAGTAAGTGTTTATTTTGCATTTGTGAAATGATTTTGATGTGATTTGAAGTAGAGTGCTTTATGTTTCTAGAACATACTGCAATAGAGAATCGATTCACGTTTAGATGGAGGATTTGGCTGTTTTGGCTGACTGAGCCAGATTGCCTATAAACAGAACATGTGAGGTTCTTGGACTATAAGGAGTAACGTTAGGCTCCTTTTGTCCATTACTGAGCTAGCACTGTTGGAGGATGGCGAGCTAAATTTAGCTAGCTAACTAAATCACACTTTATTAGCCTTCCTTGTCAATTCGACCAACTTCTACATGTGGGCTTTTCCCCATGTGGGCTTTTCCCCAAATGCTCTTTGTAACCACCCACCGACATCGCTGATGAAATATACATTATTAGCTGCCAATGACCAAATCTGGTGAGCGCTGTCTGGACTGTGGTAGATTGAACTGCATTGCCCCCTAGCAGTCATATGCAGGAACATATCAATTGTGAATTCATGTAATTTAATGATTTTTTTCTTATCATTAAATGATAACGAATGGCAGTTTAAATGTTAACAATAATTGTGCACATGCCTACACCAAGGATAATCCTATCTTATTCTTTTTGTTCTTTTTTTCTTTTTAAAAATATTCATATTTGTCCATTTTATTAATTGATTGTCTTATTATCATCCTCGGATCAGATGTTCATTGTGTGACTCTATGGGAGGGAGGGGAGTGGCTGTCAGTTTGTGTTGAACTTTGAAGAGCCCCCTCTGGTCTGCCTGTCTGCCCATGTGCTTTTTCTGAGACTGGTCAAGCTAACAAGTTTACTGCATGAACAAATACACTTCTCCATCTCCTATGCTTTGATAATGCTCCCATACAGACCTGTCATGGGAGTATCAAGAATATGATTAATGTCATTGTCATCTTGCTTAAAAAGTGAAATGGGGTGTGGCCAAGAGATCCATACTGTTTTAACGTCAACTTCTTTACATGAATGCAAGAGCTGTCATAGCCTATGTAAGAAAGAAGAACAGTCTAGCCTGATCGTAGCTAGCCTATTAACCTTGCGCTGACCCTCAGAAAATATGTGTGATCTATTCATTACACTGTACTTAAGTAGGGGACTTTTATTGCAGAATGTCACCTCCCATCAGAGGTCCCATCAAAACCAAGGAGCAGGGCAACCTCTCCTGGTACAAACTGCAGAAGCGGTTGTCTGGTTCAATCAATTATTAACTGACATTGCTCTCATAGCTACATTGATTCTCACATTAATGGAGAATACCTGGACAGAGATTCTAGTGTTGTTTCCTGACCAACTATTGGGGTTTATTTAATGTTTAACTGATGATGCCAGAAACATACACTCATAAATCTTTAGTGGTTGTCTGGTATGAACCTTTGCTTCACCAAAACTATGCTTGATCATAACCATTGCTCTACTGAATCATTTAACTTGCAACAGTCTACAGTTTATGACAGTGCAATGTTCTCCATATTTCAGTATTACATTCCAACCTTCTCCACTGCTCTGACAAACACCACTACCAGTACCAAGTTGTTTTATAGTAACCGTTCAGGATTTATTTCCTACATTTTGAACAAGTAAAACTAGTTACACATTGAGCTGTGCTACTGTAGCTACATTTTGTGATTACCCAGACGGTGTGCAATCACTTTATCCTGCATTCCAGTAGTGCATATGGAAAATAAAGTGTTTGGGTGTCAGATGAAAAGCGGATGCTGTATTTGATATAATGCTTATCTCGTGTGAAATGGTATGATTTTCTCCTCAAAATTGTTATTGTGGATGTGTCATGTGTCACGTCAGCATTTGTAGCACTGTGTTCTACTCACCTATTTTCAATCAGTTGTGCTTTTCCCTTTGATGTGAACTAAGCTGACACTAGCCTGCCTTTTGAAGGGGTCAATTTGACAGCCACTCCAGGAATGGGATCATATTGGGGTATTTTATTTATAAAGCCCTTTTTACATGTCACAAAGTGCTATACAGAAATCCAGCCTAAAACCCCAAACAGCAAGCAATGCAGATGTAGAAGCACGGCAGGGGCGTGGCAATTGGCGCGGTCAGCCTGTCGGCACGGCTACATTTTAGAGATAATTTTAGAGTCCCCCATCTTGGCGATGTAGAGGCATTTTTAAGCCAATTTCCTGAAATTCTACAAATTTCTCCATTGAGCTGAGAGACATCTTTGCAGTTTTAAAGCTAATTTCCTGCAATTCTATGCATTTTGCCATGGCTATTGATGTTCTTTTGCTCAAACATAATAAAATCAATAATGATAAATTCATGTTTTTATTTTATTTTAAATTCTCCCTGACTGTCTAGCTTTTATTTAGCTGATTGTTACGAACCCCGTGGCTTTAAACGTCTAGGGTGGATGGACATGAGACCCGTAACATAATTCATGCAAATTATAAGCGTGACATGGAACAGTGAGAACAAAAACTACACGACAACCATAAAATGTTTATTTTTGAACACACGGTAAAGGTTTGGGAAAAAGGGCTGAGCAGGACCCAAGAAATGAAACAATAGTGTAAAAAAACCCTAAACTGATCTTGCCTGCCTCAAGAACCGCTAAGCTACTGCTAATCATACAAAAATTACAGTGGGTGGTCCGCTCAGGTCTAACTAGTGTTTTTAGACAGTTTTCTTCCTACGGGTAATGTACGCCCAAGGGCAACTTGCTTAAATTCCCCTTTTCCCAGAAACACACAAAGTTACCAAACAGAGTAACCAGCAAATGAGTGAGTACACAAAACACAGGACACCACAGTATCCATACTCGCATACGGAAATAGTCTCTCCTAACAAACACAACTGACCGGCTTTTAAACAATGGGATGTGTGATTGAAAAACCAGAAACAGGTGGTGCAATGCAGAGGAATGTTCACTGATTGGTCCACCTTAGCAATCAGCAGACACCCCAACGACCACCAATCAGGAACATACAGGACACCTGTGATTAGGGCAGAAGGAGAGGAAAAACACAAAAAGACACAGGATACCTGTATCCGTAACACTCCCACCCTTAAAAGAGCAAACCACAATGGTTTGCGACACACGTACCATCACAACACCCAAAATTCAAAGATCAACAGCATCCTGACGGGATAACAAAAAAAAAAACCTAGCTCTTTAAACACGAGACAAAGCATCTGCCAACACATTATCTGACCCCTTTTTGTGGCGGATCTCCAAATTATAATTTTGCACTACAAGTGCCCAACGCATAAGGCGTTGGTTCTGGTTGTACATCCGGTGGAGAAAAACTAAGGGGTTATGGTCAGTATACACTATCACTGGTAATGCACTGGAACCAACATAAACTTCAAAGTACTGCAGAGCTAAGAACAAAGCTAGAGCTTCTTGTTCAATGGTGGAATAGTTTGTCTGACATTTGTTAAATTTCCGTGAAAAATAACAGACAGGATGGTCCACTCCACTCTGGTCCTGCTGCAGTAGAACAGCACCAGCACCTCTGGCACTTGCATCTACCTCCAGTTTAAACGGTCGTTCAAAATCTGGCGCAGCAAGAACAGGAGTACTACATAAGAGTGCTTTAGCAGTGTTGAAAGCAGTACGACAATCTTCAGACCATACACATTTTCTCGCCGGACTGAGCAAATCCGTTAATGTAGCAACTACCGCAGAGAAATTTTTACAGAAACTACGGTAGTAGCCAACCATCCCTTAAAAGCGGCGTAGCTCTCTTCTGGTGGTAGGTGCGGGAAATGCATTTATAGCTGAGACCTTGGCATCTAGAGGGCGCACCTGACCATGGCCGACCTGTTTACCAAGATAAGTAACAGTGGCCTTCCCAAACTCGCACTTTGCTAAGTTCAGGGTTAGAGAAGCGGCTGCTAGACGTTCACACACTACCCTTAGAGTGTTAACATGATCAGACCACTCAGTTGAATAAGTTACCAGATCATCAAGGTAAGCACTACAATTAGGAAATACTGTGTTAACCAGGCGTTGGAAAGTGGCTGGTGCGTTCCGCATCCCAAATGCCATGACAGCATATTGTAGGAAGTGATCGGGGGTCACAAAGGCAGAGATGTCGGAGGCACGTGAGGTTAACGGCACCTGCCAGTAACCTTTTAGAAGATCTAGTTTGGTTACATAAGTAGCAGCACCAACAGTATCAATACAGTCATCCAGTCTGGGTAACGGGAACGAGTCGGGCACTGTGACAGCATTGACCTTCCGATAGTCCGTACATAATCTGGATGTCCCATCAGGTTTAGGAACCAGAATGCACGGAGAACTCCAAGGACTTGAACTTGGCATAGCCAGGTTATTCTCCAGCAAATAACCGACCTCATCATCTTTCTTTTAGAGACATTGACACGATAAGCATGTTGCTTGATAGGTGCAGCGTTTCCAACATCAATGTCATGTTCTAACACATTTGTGCATGTAGGAACATCATTAAAAAGACATGGAAAGCTGTGTATTAGTCTCACAATATCATCTGACTGTCTGTCCGTTAAATGAATCAGGCTTGACGGCAGAGACAGCAGCATCTCTGAATTGGGCAATCTAGCACACTGCTGCTGAGTATTGCGCAACTCCAAACCAGAGATACCAGATATACTATCTATTTGGTAAACAGCATTCCAATCTCCGCCAGCGTCAACATGGGATGTCCATTTACGCATGAGGAGATTACCATCAATGAAGTATGCCATGTTTTTCTTCTTTAGCTCCTCCTCTGAGACAACACTAGAAAAACATTTAGCCAGGCTAATGTCAACCTTTTGGTTAGCGATCAGCTGCTCACGAGTGACTGGTAACTGTATTGCCTCAGCAACAAGTTCCACATCCTTCTTCCTTTCTCTGGACTGTTGGTCAGACTGCACCAGCTTACCAGAGGTAGCACCCAAACTATCCTCTGGGTCACACTCTCTGAATAGAATTGTGTTCGACAAATCTATCACTTCACCCACTTGTCGTGCTTGAGCACGTGACAGCACAAGCGGGGAACACATCTGGATAACCCTGTGCCAGCTCCTCGGAGAGAGACTGGTCACTTTTATCCAATACCTCCAATACGGGTATCACCTTTCCTCCGGCAATATCGTTGCCCATTATAAATGTCACACCTTTTACTGGCAACATAGGACGTACGCCAACTCTGAACAATCCACGGACTAACTCAGAGTGTACGTTCACAAAGTGCAATGGCACTGGGACGAATCCCATTTCAATTCCTTGTACTAACACACTGGAACCACAATATGTATTATTGGACAAGGGCAACACATCAGATAGTATGAACGACTGCGCCGCACCAGTATCTCTGAGGATTCTAACTGGACGCTGAGACGCTTCGTCATCTGATATGGAAACAAACCCCTCAAAAATGAACGGTTCATAACTGTGATCTGGGACAGGGACTTTCAAACCACATTCACTATGAGGCCTCTGTCTTGATTCCGGCCTTACAACCGTACGAATCAGCCCAACACCCGTTGGCGGCCTGAGGCATCCCCTGTTTGCGTTTAAGCAGAAAGCAATCACTAACCATATGTCCCACCTTATGACAATAGAAACAGTGACGCACATCTTTTGGGCGTGCTGGATGTACTGCTGGTCGACTGGGACTAAAAGTTTACAACTCTGCGGCCCTGCTCTCCGTACGAGCCGAAAACACGCTCTTATGAGTCAACACAAACTCGTCTGCCAATACAGACGCTTCCGACAGTGAGGATACTTTCTGTTCGTTCAGATAAACTACAATGCGTTCGGGTAAGCAATTTTTAAACTCTTCTAACAAGATTAACTCCCATAGAGAGTTAAAATCAGTTACCTTACTAGCACTGTGCCATTTGTCAAACAGATTTCCTTTGTCTCTAGCAAACTCCACATAAGTCTGAGTAGAAGCCTTTTTATGAGACCTAAATCTCTGTCGATATGCCTCAGGAACAAGCTCATAGGCACGAAGAACAGTAGCTTTGACCACGTCATAATTCAAGCTGTCTTCAAAAGGTAGCGCTGATAGAACCTCTTGGGCTTTACCTGTTAATTTACACTGAAGTAATAGGCACCATACCTCTTCGGGCCATTTCAATGCTACCGCTATACGTTCAAAAACACTGAAATAGGAATCAACCTCTGACTCCCTAAACACAGGTACCAAGGTGATCTGTCTACTAATATCAAAAGTAGCAGACGACACAGCTGGTGAGGACGGCTCACTAGAAGACATAGTATGAGCAGAGACTAACCTCGCTGTTTCTGCCTCTAGTTCCATTTTACGCATCTCCAGTTCCATCTTACGCGTCTCCTGTTCTGCCTCTAGTTCCATCTTACGCGTCTCCTGTTCTGCCTCTAGTTCCATTTTACGCATCTCCAGCTTGTCTTGCCTGATTTGTGCCCGCTCTTCCGCCTCCATTTGGAGCCGTGTCGAGCGGACATCCATCCTAGCATCACTGTCAGTCAGTGGGGAGAGTGGGTCAAAACGGGGCAATGTGGCTGGAGCCTTAGCCTCGTCCTCAGACACCGATGGGCTTACAGGAGCAGCAGCCACATCCCCTACAGGAGCAGCAGGGTCAGGCGGCAGTAACTCAAGCACTCGCTCGTTCAACAATATCTCTAACACTGTTTTCCTAACTTCTGCTTTCACTAAAACACTTGATATGGGTACAGAAAAGTGGTCAGCCAAAGCCTGTAGATCCACTCTACGGCAATTCTCAAAAACCTCCCACGTAGGGTTTTCCAAAAATGCATCCAGCTCAAAAGTAGCCATCCTAAACTAGCAACACGAGCCGACGAATACTGAACACAAAACCAGCTAGTTACAGCTGCCAAGCTCAACACTGAACCAGACACTAACTAATTTGCATGAGTAGCATGGGTATCAATGAGAATTATCCCAGACGAGCCCCCACATTATGTTACGAACCCCGTGGCTTTAAACGTCTAGGGTGGATGGACATGAGACCCGTAACATAATTCATGCAAATTATAAGCGTGACATGGAACAGTGAAAACAAAAACTACACGACAACCATAAACTACCGTCAAACATAAAAGGTTTATTTTTGAACACACGGTAAAGGTTTGGGAAAAAGGGCTGAGCAGGACCCAAGAAATGAAACAATAGTGTAAAAAAAAACTAAACTGATCTTGCCTGCCTCAAGAACCGCTAAGCTACTGCTAATCATACAAAAAGTACAGTGGGTGGTCCGCTCAGGTCTAACTAGTGTTTTTAGACAGTTTTCTTCCTACGGGTAATGTACGCCCAAGGGCAACTTGCTTAAATTCCCCTTTTCCCAGAAACACACAAAGTTACCAAACAGAGTAACCAGCAAATGAGTGAGTACACAAAACACCACAGTATCCATACTCACATACGGAAAATAGTCTAACAAAGTTACCAAACAGAGTAACCAGCAACTTAGTGAGTAAACAAAACACAGGACACCACAGTATCCATACTCACATACAGAAATAGTCTCTCCTAACAAACACAACTGACCGGCTTTTAAACAATGGGATGTGTGATTGAAAAACCAGAAACAGGTGGTGCAATGCAGAGGAATGTTCACTGATTGGTCCACCTTAGCAATCAGCAGACACCCCAACGACCACCAATCAGGAACATACAGGACACCTGTGATTAGGGCAGAAGGAGAGGAAAAACACAAAAAGACACAGGATACCTGTATCCGTAACACTGATGTTTAATTCTCATAGATTATGTTATTTAAAAAATATAAAGTTCCATGATCTTTTCTCCATACAGCTTCATGAGGTAGTCACCTGGAATGCATTTCAATTATGTGTGCCTTCTTAAAAGTTAATTTGTGGAATTTCTTTCCTTCTTAATGCGTTTGAGCCAATCAGTTGTGTTATGACAAGGTAGGGGTGATATACAGAAGATGGCCCTATTTGGTAAAAGACCAAGTCCATATTATGGCAAGAACAGCTCAAATAAGCTAAGAGAAATGACAGTCCATCATTACTTTAAGACATGAAGGTCAGTCAATACGGAACATTTCAAGAACTTTGAAAGTTTCTTCAAGTGCAGTCGCAAAAACCATCAATCGCTATGATGAAACTGGCTCTCTTGAGGACCGCCACAGGAAAGGAAGACCCAGAGGTACCCCTGCTGCAGAGGATAAGTTCATTAGAGTTACCAGCCTCAGAGATTGCAGCCCAAATAAATACTTCACAGAGTTCAAGTAACAGACACATCTCAAAATCGACTGTTCAGAGGAGACTGCATGAATCAGGCCTTCATGGTCGAATTGCTGCAAAGAAACCACTACTAAAGGACAACAATAAGAAGAAGAGATTTGCTTGGGCTAAGAAACACAAGCAATGGATGTTAGACTGGTGGAAATCTGTCCTTTGGTCTGATGAGTCAAAATGTGAGATTTTTTGTTCCAACCGTCGTGTCTTTGTGAGACGCAGAGTAGGTGAACGGATGATCTCTACATGTGTGGTTTCCAACGTGAAGCACGGAGGAGGAGGTGTGATGGTGCTTTGCTGGTGACAGTCTGTGATTTTAGTAAGTATTCAAGGCACACTTAACCAGCATGGCTACCACAGCATTCTGCAGCGATACGCCATCCCATCTGGTTTGTGCTTTGTCCTGGTGAAAAATAAATGATAGTGGGACTATGACCAAAAACACACCTCCAGGCTGTGTAAGGGCTATTTGACCAAAAAGGAGAGTGATGGAGTGCTGCATCAGATGACCTGGCCTCCACATTCACCCGACCTCAACCCAATTGAGATGGTTTGGGATGAGTTGGACCGCAGAGTGAATTAAAAGCAGCCAACAAGTGCTCAGCATATGTGGGAACTCCTTCAAGACTGTTGGAAAAGCATTATTCATGAAGCTGGTTGAGAGAATGCCAAGAGTGTACAAAGCTGTCATCAAGGCAAAGGGTGGCTACTTTGAAGAATCTCAAATATAAAATATATTTTGATTTGTTTAACACTTTTGGTTACTACATGATTCCATGTGTGTTATTTCATAGTTTTGATGTCTAAACTATTATTCTACAATGTAAAAATAAAGAAAAACCCTTGAATGAGTAGGTGTGTCCAAACTTTTGTCTGGTACTGTACTTTATATCTGGTTTTAGTCGTTTTAAGTTTACACTGAAAGCATTTTTCCATCATAAATATATTTGCCCAAAGATTACAAAGGCTTAAAAATCCCTGCCATTTTTGTCTGTGGTGGGTCGACTGGTCAGGCTTTCAGAGCGTTAAGACCTGAGTCAGTTCTTTACTCCAGCTCTGCCTTGGCAGAAATAACTACTCTCAGCTGTTTCTCTATTTCTCCTTCAAACAGCAGGCAGCTCATTGTGACCCATAACGTGTTTCCTTTCACTCTTGGCAATCATGCACTGTCATCCATAACCTTGCCATTTTATCCAGCCCCACTCTGCATCTCTCCAACCTTAACCTCCTAACATTACACCAGATGCATGATGAACCTGTCAGGGTGGTGTATGCTGCTATATGTCTGAGCCATTTCTCTGATTTGAGTTTGCAGCTTACACAAACAGAACACATTGGCAACCGGACCAAGGGAATGCCAGGAATTCTGGATGTGAGTAAATGTGGAAAAAAGAGAGGGAGCAGAGACTCGGATGAGACATCGATGGGGCTGGGGAGAATTGGAGGGAAACATCCAAGTGGGAGGGAAGGAGGGGGGTGTTTTTTTATGACTGCAACTGGCAAGTATGTTTCATGATTGGGGAATGATAGCTGTGTGAGCGACATGGAGTGGTTTAGTCATGAGCTATGCACATACATCCAGATACACTGAGGTAGTCAGAAAGATATGAACTCTGCCAAAAAAGAAATCCTGCCCCTCAGTCATATTGAGGAGAGAGGAAAGAGGGAAGAAAAACAAATGAAACAGTGGAAAGAAAAAACGTAGTGGCTTTTTGCCATTAGCTTAATTTTAATCTAAGAAAAACACTGAGTGGTGAGATCATGTACAGTTGTATTATATCACTCCACTGAGGGCCCTTCACACAAGACTCTGCTACGTTTTAATTGCCTGACAGTGGAGATATAAGTCTGTCTCGACAATGTCTCTACCAAGTGTACTGACGGCCTCTGAGGGTGGAGGGGAAAATGAAAGCTACTTCAAGTACATGCTGGTGTTCACAGAGGAATCATGTGTTCAGCGTCTATTGTTATTTTTCTCTGGTGTTAAGGACTAGCTAACTGCCCAACATTTCTACAAATGATTCTGTCGAGCTCTTTCTCTAAATAGTTTTATAGCATACAGAGTGGACAGAAAGTATTTGGGTATGCTCGTTGTATTGAGTGTAGTATATGGTTTTGTGCCTTGATTGGAGGGTCTCCAAATACAATAAAGTCAGTCTATTTACAGAGGCGCTAGACAGATCACATACAGGCTTACTACTTCCCATCTATTGTCTTGTAAGGCGTTGGGGGATGTAGGTTTGCATCAAAGCTCAGTTCCAGTAATTACTTGTCAACCAAAAATAAATAAACCTCAATTCTATACTGAACAAAAATATAAACGCAACATGCAACAATTTCATATATTTTTACTAAGTTACAGTTCATATGAGGAAATCAGTCAATTGAAATTGTGACGAGTACTGAGGATACAAAGAGGCAGACGCAGGAATTAACAATGTAAAGGTTTACTTAACACTGAGCAAGAGAACAACAAAGAGCGAGTACACGACAAGACACTAACAATCACACACACAACACTGAACAGTCCAGGGCTATATAGGGGTGATGAGGTGCAGGTGCGCTGGAGGTGATTAGGGTGCGTTGGGTTTCCATTCCGGTGTTGCCGAGGTGGTGCGCTCAGACCGGTGGCTCAGTACAGTCGTGGTCAAAAGTTTTGAATGACACAAATACTAATTTTCACAAAGTCTGCTGCCTCAGTTTTGATGATGGCAATTTGCATATACTCCAGAATGTCATGAAGAGTGATCAGATGAATTGCAATTAATTGCAAAGTCCCTCTTTGCCATGAAAATTAACTTAATCCCCAAAAAACATTTCCACTGCATTTCAGCCCTGCCACAAAAGGACCAGCTGCCATCATGTCAGTGATTTTCTCGTTAACACAGGTGAGAGTGTTGACGAGGACAAGGCTGGAGATCACTCTGTCATGCTGATTGAGTTAGAATAACAGACTGGAAGCTTTAAAAGGAGGGTGGTGCTTGAAATCATTGTTCTTCCTCTGTTAACCATGGTTACCTGCAAGGAAACACGTGCCGTCATCATTGCTTTGCACAAAAAGGGCTTCACAGGCAAGGATATTGCTGCTAGTAAGATTGCACCTAAATCAACCATTTTCGGATCATCAAGAACTTCAAGGAGAGAGGTTCAATTGTTGTGAATAAGGCGTCAGGGCGCCCAAGAAAGTCCAGCAAGCGCAAGGACTGTCTCCTAAAGTTGATTCAGCTGCGGGATCGGGGCACCACCAGTGCAGAGCTTGCTCAGGAATGGCAGCAGGCAGGTGTGAGTGCATCTGCACGAACAGTGAGGTGAAGACTTTTGGAGGATGGCCTGGTGTCAAGAAGGTCAGCAAAGAAGCCACTTCTCTCCAGGAAAAACATCAGGGACAGACTGATATTCTGCAAAAGGTACAGGGATTGGACTGCTGAGGACTGGGGTAAAGTCATTTTCTCTGATGAATCCCCTTTCCGATTGTTTGGGGCATCCAGAAAACACCTTGTCCGGAGAAGACAACGTGAGCGCTACCATCAGTCCTGTGTCATGCGAACAGTGAAGCATCCTGAGACCATTCATGTGTGGGGTTGCTTCTCAGCCAAGGGAGTGGGCTCACTCACAATTTTGCCTAAGAACACAGCCATGAATAAAGAATGGTACCAACACATCCTCCGAGAGCAACTTCTTCCAACCACCCAAGAACAGTTTGGTGACGACCAATGCCTTTTCCAGCATGATGGAGCACCTTGCCATAAGGCAAAAGTGATAACTAAGTGGCTCGGGGAACAAAACATCGACATTTTGAGTCCATGGCCAGGAAACTCCTCAGACCTTAATCCCATTGAGAATTTATGGTCAATCCTCAAGAGGCGGGTGGACAAACAAAAACCCACAAATTCTGATAAACTCCAAGCATTAATTATGCAAGAATGGGCTGCCATTAGTCAGGATGTGGCCCAGAAATTAATTGACAGCATGCCAGGGCGGATTGCAGAGGTCTTGAAAAAGAAGGGTCAACACTGCAAATATTTACTCTTTGCATAAACTGAATGTAATTGTCAATAAAAGCCTTTGACACTTATGGAATGCTTGTAATTATACTTCAGTATACCATAGTAACATCTGACAAAAATATCTAATAACGCTGAAGCAGCGAACTTTGTGAAGACCAATACTTGTGTCATTCTCAAAACTTTTGACCACGACTGTAGACCGGCGAATCAGAGCGCCGGAGAGAGCAACGGGAGGAGACGTGACAGAAATAAACTCATTAGGCCCTAATCTATGGATTTCACATGACTGGGAATACAGATATGCATATGTTGGTCACAGATACCAACAACAAAGAAATTGGGTCTCAAAATATGTTTCAGGATCTGGTCACAGTATTTTTGTGCATTCAAATTGCTGTCGATAAAATACAATTGTGTTCGTTGTCCGTAGCTTATGCCTGCCCATACCAGAACCTCACCGCCACCATGGAGCACTCTGTTCACAATGTTGACTTAAGCAATCCGCTCGCCCACACAACGCCATACACGTGGTCTGCGGTTGTGAGGCCGGTTGGACATACTGCCAAATTCTCTAAAATGACGTAATGGGAGAGAAATTAACAATCAATTCTCTGGCAACAGCTCTGGTGGACATTCCTGCAGTCAGCATGCCAATTGCACACTCCCTCAAAACTTGAGACATCTGTGGCATTGTGTTGTGTGACAAAACTGCACATTTTAGAGTGGCCTTTTATTGTCCCCAGCACAAGGTGCACCTGTGTGATGATCTTACTGTTTAATCATCTTCTTGATATGCCGCACCAGTCAGGTGGATGGATCTTGGGAAATGAGAAATGCTCACTAACAGGGATGTAAACAAATTTGTGCACAACATTTGAGATGGGTATAAAAAGCAGACATTGAATATCCCTTTGAAGTTATGAATTACACTTTGGATGGTGTATTAATATACCCAGTCACTACAAAGATGCAGGCGGCCTTCCTAACTCAGTTGCCGGAGAGGAAGGAAACCGCTCAGGGATTACACCATGAGGCCAATGGTGACAGAGTTTAATGGCTGTGATAGGAGAAAACTGATGATGGATCAACAAGATTTTAGTTACTCCATAATACTAACCTAAATGACAGAGTGAAAAGAAGGAAGCCTGTACAGAATAAAAATATTCCAAAACATGCATCTTGTTTGCAATAAGGCACTAAAGTAAAACTGCAAAAAATGTGGCAAAGAAATTAACTTTATGTCCTGAATACAAAGCATTTTTGGGGCCAATCCAACAACACATCACTGAGTACCACTCTTCATATTTTCAAGCATGGTGGTGGCTGCATCATGTTATGGGTATGCTTGTCATCGGCAAGGACTAGGGAGTTTTTTAGGATAAAAATAAACGGAATAGAGCTAAGAACAGGCAGAATTTCTTACCAAGACGACATTGAATGTTCCTGAGTGGCCTAGATACAGTTTTTACTTAAATTGACTTGAAAATCTATGGCAAGACTTGAAAATGGCTGTCTAGCAATGATCAACAACCAATTTAACAGCGCTTGAAGAATTTGAATAAGAATAATGTGCAAATATTGTACAATCCAGGTGTGCAAAGCTCTTAGAGACCTACCCAGAAAGACTCACAGCTGTAATCGCTGCCAAATGTGATTCTAACATGTATTGACTCAGGGGTGTGAATACTTATGTAAATGAGATTTCTGTATTTCATTTTCAATAAATTTGCAGAAATGTCTAAAAACAGGTTTTCACTTTGTCATTATGGGGAATTGTGTGTAGATGGGGAAAGGGGAAACAATCGATTTAATCAATTTTGAATTCAGGCTGTAACACAACAAAATGTGGAATAAGTCGAGGGGTATGAATCGTTTCTGAAGGCACTTTTGTGGTTAATTACTGCTGTTATTATTGTGTAATTAGGCCACATATCATCATCATCATCATCATCATCACTGTCTCTTTGTTTCTCCCAGGTTTGTGTGTGCTCAGATGCCCAACGCTGTGTTGGAGAGCATCAGCATCATCGACACCCCAGGAATCCTGTCTGGAGAGAAGCAGAGGATCAGCAGAGGTTGGTAGTTAACCACCTGTATTCATTGTACCATTATGGTTCTTTTTTTCTTCCCCATCTCTTTCTTCTCTTTCTGCATCCTTCTTCCCCCTCTCAATTACTCTCCTTTTGTCCTCTTCCTCCATCTTGATCCTTGATTCTGTCTCATTATTATTCTTTTTTTACTGGAACAAGGACTACCGTACTACTTTTTAAGGTTGGCCGGTCCAGTGATCATGTAATATGGTAAATTAATGTGGCACATTTTTTGGTGTCCCTGAGAATGCAGATTCATGATGTAGACATTTTGGACATATCCTAGTGAAGCAGTGGAATGAAATTGAATGATCTGCATTAAAAGGCCTGTATTTGTAGCCAACCTGTTTATATTACTGCAGAACAACCTAGTCTCTGATTTACATACTGAATTCCTGTGTGTGTGATCTGCGTCCGAAGACCACTACCTCATATACATGGTTCTAGCGCAAGTGTATTGGCAGGTACTTTGAAGAGGGGATGTCAGAACCTCCCCACGCCCCTGTCGTACACCATGACAACAGAATGGGTGTGAGTGCCATCCCAGAGAGGAAGGCCGCCAGGAAACAGTGGGGACCTCAGAGAGGGACAGGGGTGGAGGATGGAGGTTAAGAGCAAAACAATGACTCCTAGGCAGGCTGGGCAACAGTGTGGCAACACACATTAGGGAAGAGTTGCTAGTTCAACTCAATGTTGAGCCTGGAACCTTCAAATTCATCCAAAGCATACATTGATCTCTAGGGATGGGTTTTACCCTCTTTAGATGTGCCTCCAGGACTGTCTGTCTGCACTCAGGTATGCTAATCTCTTAAACAAGGTACAATTAACAACACAAAGCTAATGAGACATTTAGGGGGCAAGGTTTGAAATGCTTTTAGAAGTCAGTGTGAGTCTTACTCTTTGCCCTCTACCCTTCGCCCCAGTGTGGTTGTGTATGAGGGAGAGTGATAGGATGTGTGTGCTCCAGCCAATGCGCTGCACAGAGACTATAAGGATGAGTCAAAGCAAGCCAGACAATGGAGTTGGCTGAAGAACAAAACAGAGGGTGTTGTTGACACTAATCATACAGCCCCTGGGCGAGTTGACACGTAGAGGCCTGGGGTTACAGGCAGCACACCTTCAACCCTGGGCCAGCTACACCCTGACATGTTTACACTTCTTCTTCTTTTTTTTTTTTGGTCCAGCATCGTCCAAGGTAGGGGGAGGGTTTGGCCGGAAGGGATGTGGGTTCGTTTCCCACGGGGGGCCAGTATGAAAAAAATAAAAATAAAAAAATGTATGCATTCACTAACTGTAAGTCGCTCTGGATAAGAGCGTCTGCTAAATAAATAAAAAATATTATATATATAAAAATATATAAAAAAGTGTGAGGATGCTAGGTCCGCCACTGGGTCACCTCAGGGTGAAAAACAGCCTCCTGGGGACATAAAAGAGATGTGATGGCAGGGAGAAAGTGAGAAAAAAGGGAGTCTTTTTTTTAATAGTTTTTTTTACTGCAACCATGGTGGAATAGAAGTAGACTTGCCATGTTAGAACTCTTTGATGTTTGAGAGCTGAAGGCAGGAGATCGAATGAGTGTTTGAAGTCCAGGGGAATTATTGAGAATCGAAAGATGGTGTGCTGTATCGTACTTACAAAGCACTTAACTGTATTTGGGAGTCAGGGACTGGGACATTACACTGGGCTTTCATGCATTTACTGGAGAGAGTATTGAACACTTCTCATAACCCACTGTGGGCTATAGTAAATCACATGTATAGTGGTTAAGAGCGTTGTGCCAGTAACCGAAAGGTCGCTGGTTCTAATCCCCGAGCCGACTAGGTGAAAAATCTGTCCATGTGCCGTTGAGCAAGGCACTTAACCCTAATTGCTCCTGTAAGTCGCACTGGATAAGAGCGTCTGCTAAATGACCAATATATTTTTATTTATGTATGCTCACATGACCACAGAGAACTGAAATGGGGCAGGCCAGAATGGATTTGAATTTACATTCCTACACAGTATATTGAACCAGGATTCATGATACAGGCAGTACTGAGGTTACAACATTTTGTAGAGTACTTATTGTGGTCAGAATTCAGTGCCGGTTATTACAAAGGGGAAGCCCTGCTACAGTCATTCCTCAATGATGGAAAACATGAGGTCGTTGGTTGTAGTTACCCCAAGCTGAGCTCTTATCTCTCTATAACACACACATACTACTATGCACACGCACACACACATGCACACACGCGCACACACACACACACACACACACACACACACGCAAGGGGGTGCACACAGACACGCACACAGGAAACCCACACCAGAGTCACTGCAGTACACTTCCCCATTGTCCCTGTGACTGAGTCACAAATTCTCTCATCCCACTCCAAACTACTTTCCCCTTCATTCCCACCCTTTTTTTCATTCATGAATTCATTTAATAGGGTCTGTCAACTGAATTTCTTTGTTGGCCGCCGTAGTGTTTTATCTGCCTTAAAGTGATACTTGTCTCCATTTGCCCTGGTTCAGACCTTGCAAGGGCGGTTAATAATCTCCTCAAGTCTTCTGACTGTATCTGTTCACTCCCTCAGCTCCACGGCTCCTTTACATTTCTGTTAATCATAATACTGTGGTCCGCTTGACTATATGGAAAAAAAAGAGTAAGCTATTTAGCTGCCTTACTTTTGGGGTGTTAGAGTTGGGCTTTTCCTTATAAGGACACTGCTATTTTCCCTCGTCAGGGTTACAGCAGTGAGAGTTACTACTTTATCTGTGAAGGGAAGGCAGGTGAATGAGGCGATGTCCTTGTCACTCTAGCGTATCTTGCAAGGTTCAGTTAAACAGACCGTTCATTATTTACTGTATACATGCTCAAGGTCCTCGGTGACTCCAAGCTTTCTCCCGGGTGTCGGGTGTCACTAGCATTCTCTCACACTCAGACAATTCTTGGCAAATGAAAGCTGGTAATAAAGGGGTTGCTGTTTATGCTGGAAGAGATTTGAACTCATGTGGTTAACCGGTGACAAGACAGTTTATGCAACGTGGCTGGTTCCTTAACCTTAAAGGAGAAGGAGTGGTCATGTCATTGCCGCTTTATGCCTGTTTATTTCAGAAACGTATAAAGTTTAGTTTAGTTTACACATACGTACATACACACAATGAACCATTAAACCTGAGGCCATACAGGATTCCAAAATGTTGCTTCAAGAGCATGGCCTGTGCCAACAAATAGGTCATTAGCCATTGTATTGTGGAATTCAAATGTCCATTCCGTGAACATATTCCTAGATCCTTCCTCTGTTCTAAGCCTTTCCATTAACTGGAGAGGGGATACCGTGTGAATGGGCCATTGGTGTGGAAAGCTGACCATTTCCCATAGTGATACAGAGGAGATAGTTATGAGACGTGTCATACTGCCCAGGCTCCAGTTCTATCAACCAGGACATTACTAATGTTTCTCCCTAGTGGCAGGGGTGAAAGAGTTGAGTTTGTGGGACGACCATGTACCAAAGAACCAGTAATGTAACTCTCATGAAACAAGGCCAGGCAGTGGGGTTCATGACCTCTGACCAACTAGTATAAATCAGGAAGAGGACCACATTGTAGGAAGTGATTCCAGTGAGGTGGTTTACTGTCAGTCTTTGAAAGCACACCCCCCCCTCTCTCGCGCGCTCTATCTCTCTCTCACTCTCCACATGGATCAGGTTTCACTAGCATGGTGTTTTAAGTTCAGACATAATTTACACAGTTCATATCTAAGCCAAACTGATGGAATGCACTGACAACAGCTTATGATATGTGGGTATCTATCTGGACAGTTTTTCCAGTAAATTGTATCAGACAGACACCTGAGCATGTCTATTTCTGAGCCCTGCAAGGATGGTCTCAAATTCCTAATCTACTGTATGCTTCATAGGTGTCTGAGTATGACACTGAAATTCTCTGCCAGATCAGCATACAGTGTTCATTCTCACCCTAGGCAGTTCCCAATTTTATATTATTACATTGAAATTAGAAATCAACTTTGTTGGTTTGGTGTCATTGTCAATTCCATGCGTGCGTTCTTAGCAGATATTTCCTTTTTGGAAAAGTATGAAGGAAGGAAGACTGGAGAGAGAACTAAGAAAGACGGTTTGGTGTGCTTCTGGGAAAGCACAACTGAAAAATACCTTCCATTAGATGAACTTTCACCTCTACCAATAATTAGCTCACATCAGGGTTCGGGGCAATTCCACTCTTTAGTTAATCGAAGCTGTGAGAGAAAAGTGGAGTAGAAGAGAAAATAAATGTAATGAATTCCTTTGACTTGAAACAGAGTTGACCCTGACCTTATATGAATCAGGTGGATCAGTGACTAAGATGATGGATAATGCCATTGTTTGAAAAATACGTTGGGTAGGCCTGACAAGGCTGACATACAGTTGATTGGGTGGTAAGAGGTAAGGTTTGACATTCTCACAGATATTCATTATGTCCCTTCTTCCCCCTTGTGATTGCGCTCACCTTTAAGTCAGGTTAGCCTACTTGTTCAACTTTATTTCCCCAGAGATTGGTTACTAGGTCAAAGGATGGTATGGTAACAATTAACCTTCAGATTAAATGGGAAGAATTGTGACAGGCAGCGCTGTTTTTTTCTCTACCTCCTCTGTGTAGATTTGATATCCCTATCTTTTATTACCAGCATATCCCTCTTTTTAAAGTGAGCAGAGATAAGAGGAGCTGTTCTCGTGGACTCTTGACTTTGCCAGGTCACGCCCTCATTGGATCGGTGGAGAGATCACACATCCTGCCAACGTTGACACAAAACCCAGACTGATGGAAGAACACCTTTCAGTCTTTCACTGGGATTAGATTCACTACTAGTTGTTCTCGTCTATAACTGTTCTGTACTTTGTCATGTATTTGTACGTTTTATGTGGACCCCAGGAAGAGTAGCTGCTGCATGTGCAGTAGCTAATGGGGATCCTAATACACTAAACTACAGCCAACATATTAGGACGCTCTGTGCTTATTATCCTAGTGAATAACATGATTCTAACCAACTACTGTACTTTTTAATTGACACGCTCATTGTTGGATCTTGTCTCTGTTTTTCCCCCCGTTGCTAATGATTAGTCCAGCACTAATCCTGGGACAGAGCGGAGAACAGAGGAAGGTCGGGTTTTACGCACACACACAGGTGGATAGCTTTAGGGCTTCTCTCCTGGTTCAATCAGCAGAAATGTCCTTTTATTTATGATCTATGAGTAGGTACACCTAACTTAGGTATTGCATATAAAGGAACAGCTCTGCCCAATTCACAATGGAGCTCTGTAATGGATGTGTGAGAGAGGAAGAGACTGTGAGATGGACAATTGTTTCTCGCTGCTCAAATAGAATGCTGAGTCAGACTGTTCTCTGCCTTGAACTTCCCAAACCCATTTAAAAACTGTGGACGTTGATAATAGTTTTTAATAAAGGGATTGGCCACAACTACTGTCAGTTTGACTAGTGTCCGTGTTTTGCCTCCACCTCCAGCACAGCGTGCCAAGGCAGAGTGGTGCCCTGCTGCCCTCTAGTACAATTCAGAATGAACAAATAAATAACCGTTCTAAACAGAGGCGAGGAAGAGGTCTCTTTGTGGGCCCAGTGTCTCCACTGCACAATTTATGCTCCAAAGGCTCTTTCCTGTTTTGTCATTCAGGGAGGATATGTCCATGTGTGGCAGTGGGGAGAAGACATCCCCTAGAAATAGAGTGGATAGAATAGACCTAGACTAATTCATTTAAAACATCACTGAATGTCTTGTTTGATGGGACAAATTTCATGTATAAAGCATTTGACCTCATTCAGTCTTGATTTTCTTTGCATGCTTGAAAACATGAATTCTCTACTATTCTGAACTGAAATATAAGCTAGGCCTAGTGTTCAGCAAATTGTGCTCCAGAAAACAACTATGAATAAGTCCCAATGCTTATCTTTTAGAACATTAGGATGAAATGTGAGGCCCAAACTCTGCATCATCACATCAATTTCATAAGGCTTTACTAGGTGTGTCACGTGCAATGAAATGGATTCCGCTTGATCCATTTCTATGCTCTGTCGGTCATGGGTAAATGGCAAAGCTCTGCTCTGGGCAGTGTTGGTGTCACACTGTGAGGAGAAGGAAGATGGAGGAGGGTGTTGTTTAGTTAAGGTTTTCCTGGCACAGGAATAACACATTTTGTCTCATTGTGAAATATACCTGTTTTTGGATCTAGCTGGGTCTGTGTGTCTCTGTTGCTGTGTGAAGCGGGACCATAGAGACAGGATAAGCTGGAGTGGCACTGGAATCTGAGCTGATTGATATGCATAGAGAAACAAACACACTCTTACTAGGAGCGGCTCACACATTCTAAATCAAGTTGGTGTGGATTTAAGGGCATATTTTCACTCCTTACATAATCACAGATCCCATAAACTTGTTGGACTGTAATTTTATTGTTGACCACATCATCTCGTACCATTTTCATTTGATTTAAATGTGAAACTTTTGATAAAAGGGTTTAATTGAAGATTTCACACCCCTTCTTATGAAAAAACAAATTAACCATGTTCCTCTTTCCTCTCTTCAGGCTATGACTTTGCTGCAGTGCTGGAGTGGTTTGCTGAGCGTGTTGACCGCATCATCCTGCTCTTCGACGCCCACAAACTAGACATCTCGGATGAGTTCTCTGAGGTGATCCGCTCCCTGAAGAACCATGAGGACAAGATGCGGGTGGTTCTGAACAAGGCGGACCAGATTGGCACACAGCAGCTGATGAGGGTTTATGGCGCCCTCATGTGGTCTCTTGGTAAAATTGTCGGCACGCCAGAGGTGATCCGGGTGTACATTGGTTCTTTTTGGGCTCAGCCGCTCCTGGTCGCAGACAACCGGAAGCTTTTTGAGGCTGAGGAACAGGACCTTTTCAAGGACATCCAGGGGCTGCCTCGGAATGCTGCTCTGAGGAAGCTCAATGACCTCATCAAGCGGGCTCGCCTCGCCAAGGTGAGACCTAGGACTTAAATGTTGGGGCTTAAACCTCATTGTGGGGGCATAACCCTCAGTGTGCCAAAATTGATCAGTGGTTAGCTGTTTAGGTCCATATATGATTAATTTAGTCTTCCCTCCCTCCAGGTCCACGCCTACATCATCAGCTCTCTAAAGAAGGAGATGCCCAACATGTTTGGGAAGGATAACAAGAAGAAGGAGCTGATCGCCAACCTGGGGGAGATCTACAACAGGATTGAGAAAGAGCACCAGATCTCACCTGGAGACTTCCCCAAACTAGCTAAGATGCAGGTACACAAATATACATTATTTATTTTTTCCAGTGGAGGTAGTAATTAGGTTAAAGGAGAACTTCAGTGTCAGATGAACTCATGGATACCTTTTTTATGTCTCAGCGTGCAGTTTGAAGGAAGTTGCTAACTAGCATTAGCGCAATTGCTAACTAGCGTTAGCGCAATGACAGGAAGTCTATGGTAACTGCTAGCATGTGAGTAGATACCATAGACTTCGTCATTGCGCCAACGCTAGTTAGCATTGGCTTGCAATACTACCTCTAACTTCCTTCATACTGGATGCAGAGACATAAAAATGGTGTCCATGAGTTCATATGACACTGGTGAAGTAGATATTGTACAAATCCCTAAGTATCCCTTTAACCGAAGTAGCCATCTAAGTAGTGATATCAGTAGTTGTGGTGATGAGCAATGCAGATACCTTTCCTTGACTAGAACTCCCCTGACCTCATTTCATCTTTATGAACACACAGGAGATCTTGGCTAACCAGGACTTCAGTAAGTTCCAGACGGTGAAGCCCAAGCTGCTGGAGGCTGTTGAGGACATGCTAGCCAACGACATCGCCAAACTCATGACCCTCGTCCGCCAGGAGGAGGCAGCCATGCCCAGCCAGTCAGTCCAGGGTGGCGCCTTCGAGGGCACCATGAACGGGCCTTTCGGCCATGGCTACGGCGAGGGTGCAGGCGAGGGCATTGATGAGCTGGAGTGGGTGGTGGCACGAGACAAACCCACCTACGACGAGATCTTCTACACCCTGTCTCCTGTCAACGGCAAAGTGTCGGGCGCCATGGCCAAGAAGGAAATGGTGAAGTCCAAACTGCCCAACACAGTGCTGGGAAAGATCTGGAAACTGGCCGATGTAGACAATGACGGTTTCCTGGACGACGAAGAGTTTTCCCTTGCCAATCACTTGATCAAGGTGAAGCTTGAGGGTCACGAGCTTCCCACTGATCTGCCAGAACACCTTATCCCCCCCTCCAAAAGGGGACTGTAGAATTGGAAATCAGGTCACTCAACAAATCAATAAAGGATTACAAAGAAATAAGGGGAACTCATAAAAAAATATATGCTGGGGAACATTCTATTTAATCCTTGTCTTCCATTAAGTTCGATTTGTGTCCGAGTTTAGTCAATTGTTTATTCTACTTACAGATTTATAATCATAATATATCATTTCTAATCAAAACCATTTGTGTATGTTTAGCTTTTCCTAACGCCATTATAAAGCAAAGTGTTCATAGTCTGAAAACAAGAGTTGCAGAAGCACAGGCACCCATGGCAGGGTAAATATACGTCACCCCACAAAATGCTAACAATGGACAAGCTATTAGTGTATTCTTTCAAGCATGCCAAATACTTCTGCTTATGTTCTCTTGTGTAGACTCAACTGACATGCAGACTGATCATTATTCTAACCTTGGGGGTGAAGGGGGAATATGGATAAATTCAGGTTGATATCCCTCATGTCACTGCCTTGTAGAGTTATTAGCTTACAGACAAACTAGTGTCTTGGACGACCTTGCCTAGCTACTACCTAGTGTCTTTTTGAACATCTATCTGAAAAGGCTCCAGTAAACCATATATTATGTCAAAAATAGGAAATGTATGTGATCTAGCTTAAGCTACATTTTGTGCAGTTTTTTTAAACCTCAAATATCCAGCCCATACTCCGAGGCTTTCCACTATAGGGCTTTAGAATGCAACAACAAAATATTGCCTTTCCACTCACTGGTTGCAGGGAACATGGGGGGTTGGGCATACAGTATGCATTGGCAAGATATCTGATAAAATATATTTATGGAAAACCAATTAACTGATTTTGGGGACATAGTACCAACTTAAAAATCCCAGTTTAATCCCTGCCAGTCACATCTAAATGTTCATATGTACATTGTTTTTGGTCTCTATTTTGAAATAAACGTTTTATTATAATACATTTGTTTTTTCTATTTTTGTCTGCTCTGATAGGACTGGATCAAACATTGCCCAGTAAAAGCCTAAATTGTCGTAGTTCATTAGTGCTTATGTTAGCTATCTGCCCGCTTCAATTGATTTAGGATCAGTATGAAAAAGCACACTTCCTTTGTGAGAAACCCGCTTATTTCATCTTCCGGGAACGCACAGAGCAGCATGGCAGCAGACAGCACGATGCCTAATGGCCAAGAAACGGCCTCCTTGAACGGAGAGCCAGCTTTCAAGCGACTTCGGGAGAATGGACAGGTCGAGTCCCTGCGGACTCCGAAGGAACCTCGGAATAAAGTAACCGTGGTCCTCGGTGCGCAATGGGGAGACGAGGGAAAGGGGAAAGTGGTTGACCTGCTAGCCATGGACGCAGACATAGTATGCAGGTGTCAGGTACGTAGCTAGCTATGCTAACTAGCTATCTAAGCTAAACCAGCAAACACACAAACAAGGCATTTGAATTTGACAAAAATACGTCAGTCGTTAGGCTGCGTTAGCAAGGCCTAAACAAAACCAATACTAGCTAGTGTATAAAAATATTTAGGAAGCTAGCTATTAGCCAATTATCATGCAAACCTACAAACTTGCTAACCTTAGTGGCCAGCTAGCTAAGAATGCTATCTAGTGGTAGCGGATAACGACCCCCCAACAAATGGGTTATCTAGAGATTACTAGCTTGGTTTCCAACTGGAGTTATCGAGATAGCCTTCATCTCGGCTCCCATGATAAAATACTACCTACATTGGTTTCATTCGACTAACTTTGACCTTGTGATCAGTGCCCTATTTGCAGTCAAGTTAGATAATGTCAGTGGCTGCTGCAGTTCAGTGCAGCACAGAGAAGCCCAAGGCATTAGAATGTTTCCGCTGTCCCATGCTAGTGTAAGGTGTCCATATGTTGTATCACAGTTCAGTTTTGTAGCCGTTCAAATAATGCCCTACCAGTTGGCTGGTAATTACTTATCAACAGAATTTGCCTGTGCTCCTCCTCTTGGTGTTCATGTAAATACCTTCCTCAGGTATTTACATGACCACTGAGTGGCACAGTGGTCTAAGGCACTGCATCGCAGTGCTAACTGTGCCACTAGAGATCCTGGTTCGAATCCAGGCTCTGTCGCTGCCGGCCGCGACCAGGAGACTCATGGGCGGCGCACAATTGGCCCAGCGTCGTCCAGGGTAGGGGAGGGAATGGCCGGCAGGGATGTAGCTCAGTTGATAGAGCATGGCGTTTGCAATGCCAGGGTTATGGGTTCGATTCCCACGGGGGGCCAGTATAAAGACTAACTGTAAGTCGCTCTGGATAAGAGCGTCTGCTAAATGACTAAAATGTAAATGTATGTGCTTAGGCCCCTCCTGTACTCCCTGTTCACCCACGACTGTGTGGCCAAGCACGACTCCAACACCAACAAGTTTGCTGAAGACACAACAGCCTGATCACTGACAACGATGAGACAGCCTATAGGGAGGAGGTCAGACACCTGGCAGTGTGGTGCCAGGACAACAACCTCTCCCTCAACGTGAGCAAGACAAAGGAGCTGATCGTGGACTACAGGAAAAGGAGGGCCGAACACGCCCCCATTCACATCGACAGCGCTGTCCACATCACCAACAAACAAACTATCATGGTCCAAACACATCAAGACAGACGTGAAGAGGGCACGACAAGACCTCCCCCTCAGGAGACTGAAAAGATTTGGCATGGGGCCCCAAATCCTCAAAAAGTTATATAGCTGCACCATCGAGAGCATCCTGACCAGTTGCATCACTGCCTGGTATGGCAACTGCTCGGCATCCGACCGTAAGGCGCTACAAAGGGAAGTACTTACGTCACTGGGGCCAAGCTTCCTGCCATCCAGGACCTATATACTAGGCGGTGTCAGAGGAAGGCCCCAAAAATTGTCAAAGACTCCAGTCACCCAAGTCACGGCAAGCGGTACCGGAGCACCAAGTCTAGGTCCAAAAGGCTCCTTAACAGCTTCTACCCCCAAGCCATAAGACTGCTGAACAATTAATCAAATGGCCACCCAGACTATTTACATTGACCCCCCCCCCCCCTCCATGTTTTTACACTGCTGCTACTCGCTGCTTATTATCTATGCAAATGTACTTTACCCCTACCTACATTTACAAATTACCTTGACTAACCTGTACCCCCGCACATTGACTCGGTATCGGTACCCCCTGTATATAGCCTCGGTATTGTTACTTTTTACTTTCGTTTATTTAGTAAATATTTTCCTAACTCTATTTCTTGAACTACATTGTTGGTTAAGGGCTTGTAAGTAAGCATTTCACGGTAAGGTCTACACCTGTTGTATTTGGCGCATGTGACAAATAAAATTTGATTCGATTTGTCTCATCCAGGGAGGCAACAACGCAGGCCACACAGTGGTGGTGGACTCTGTGGAGTATGACTTTCACCTGCTCCCCAGCGGAGTGCTCAACAAGAAGGCTGTCTCATTTATTGGTGGGTTGACCCTCTCACTGGCACTTCAGCCTCTAAGCTGCTTTCACTTGTTAGGATTCCTGTTCAAATCATCCCTAACTGAACTGCTTATCCACAGGGAACGGGGTTGTGATACACCTGCCTGGGCTCTTTGAGGAGGCTGAAAATAACCTGCAGAAAGGCAAAGGTAAGTATTTGCAAAAGAGGCTTGCAGGAAAGATGAGGGATAAAAGGGTGATGGATGAATGAAGTGGAACAAGACCTGCAATTTATTGTCTTTGTCCAGGACTGCAAGGATGGGAGGAGCGTTTAAAGATTTCTGACCGTGCACACATTGGTAAGTCTGTATGACTCGGTTGTATGTTTTACAAACCTATGGTTTAGTGTTTTGCAATTCCATTAATTTACTATTTTTCTTTGCCTCATCCGCTAATAGTGTTCAACTTCCACCAAGCTGTTGATGGGATCCAGGAACAACAGAGACAGCTACAGGCGGGAAAGAAGTGCGTGGGTTTTACTGTATGAGGAAGTGTTAATGACTATCTGGGCTCGTATTTATAAAGCATGTCAGAGTAGGAGTGCTGATCTATGAGACACTTTGTTTAGACGAGCCCTCTTAATTTTACTATATGTTCCAATTCATCCCAAAGGTGTTCGATGGGGTTGAGGTCAGGGCTCTGTGCAAGCCAGTCAAGTTCTTCCACACCGATGTCAACAAACCATTTCTGTATGGACCTCGCTTTGTGCACAGGGGCGTTGTCAGGCTGAAATAGGAAAGGACATTCCCCAAACTGTTGCCACAAAGTTGGAAGGACAGAATCGTCTAGAATGTCATTGTATGCTGTAGCGTTAAGTTTTCCCTTCACTGGAACTAAGGGGCCTAGCCCAAACCATGAAAATCAGCCCCAGACCATTATTCCTCTTCCACCAAACGTTACAGTTGGCACTATGCATTGGGGCAGGTAGCGTTCTCCTGTCATCCGCCAAACACAGATTCGTCCGTATGACTGCCAGGTAGTGAAGCGTGAATAATCACTCCAGAGAGTGCGTTTCCACTGGTCCAGAGTCCAATGGCGGCAAGCTTTACACCACTCCAGCCGACGCTTGGCATTGCGCTTGGTAATCATAGGCTTGTGTGCGGCTGCTCGGCCATGGAAACCCATTTCATGAAGCTCCCGACGAACAGTTATTGTGCTGACGTTGCTTCCAGAGGCAGTTTGGAACTCGGTAGTGAGTGTTGCACCGAGGACAGACAATTTTTACATGCTTCAGCACTCGGCGGTCCCGTTCTGTGAGTTTTTGTGGCCTACCACTTCGCGGCTGAGCTGTTTTTGCTCCTAGGTGTTTCCACTTCACAATAACAGCACTTACAGTTGACCGGGGCAGCTCTAGCAAGGCAGACATTTGACGAACTGACTTGTTGGAAAGGTGGCATCCTATGATGGTGCCCCGTTGAAAGTCACAGCTCTTCAGTAAGGCCATTCTACTGCCAATGTTTGTCTATGGAGATTGCATGGCTGTGTGCTCGATTGTATACACCTGTCAGCAACGGGTGTGGCTGAAATAGCCGAATCCACTAATTTGAAGGGGTGTCCACATACTTTTGTATACATATTATAAGTACTTAGTTTTATTAGTAGTTGTAGAAGTAGCTCATTTGTATTAGGTGTAGGCCTATTAGTAGTTGTACAGCAAATATTTTATGCTGTTAATGTACGTTTTTGTGTTTCATTATTCTTCTTACTAAGTATTGTTTATTTATTTATTTTTTTTTCATTTGGACACTTGAATACGAGATCCTGCAAAATGTCAAATAAAATAAATAAATATGGTCAGTGATTGCAGCTATTAAATAATTAAGTCATGGTAGCCTTTCTGGGCTACTGCCAAGGCAGTATTGTATATTCTTTCTGTGGCACTCCTGAACGTCCACTTTCTGTTTTTGATTGTTTTCTAGTTTGGGAACCACCAAAAAGGGCATTGGACCTGCCTATTCTTCCAAAGCTGCTCGCAATGGACTGAGAGTCTGTGACCTTGTGTCTGATTTTACCGTCTTTGAGGAGAAGTCAGTACCCAAATTATTGTTTTTAAGAATGCATGGTGATGCTTTCAACCCTTAACTTTATTTAAGTCATTGATATTGATTGGTAGTGGATGTCCTTTTCTTCTTCCACAGGTTCCGTGTATTGGCAGAGCATTTTCTGACTATGTACCCCAACCTCAATGTTGACATTGACAATGAGCTGCAGCAACTGAAGGTAAAAAGAATATTGCTTGAATTATGTAATATCTTTACTTAAATAAAACTTTGGACTTAGCCATCACCTGCCCAGGATGCAGTCAGGGATGCTAGTCCAGTTATGTCTTGTTTGTGCCCAATGAATGTGATCCTGTTTTTGAGGGGTCTCTTTATGCAGGTTGATACCGTCTCAATTGAGCTGATTCCTTGCAGCACAGCTCTTGTTTGTCTTCCAGGAGTAAAGCGAAAATGTAAAGAGAAGATTCTGAGAGGTTTCTCTGTGCTCCAGTAGGTGTTTAGTCACTGATTTTTCCCTCCTCTTTTCCAGGAGTATGCTGAGAGGTTGCGTCCCCTTGTGACCGACGGGGTGTACTTCATGCACAAGGCACTCACTGGGCCCAGCAAGAAGATCCTGGTGGAGGGAGCCAATGCAGCCCTCCTGGATATTGACTTTGGTGAGAACAGAAGGAGTTGAGGGGGTAAATGATTATGCTGCTCTGCTGTTTGCCATTTAGTGATTGCCATTGGAATATAATTTGAAGGAAGTGGAATAATAATTTGTCTTTTTCAGGTACCTACCCATTTGTGACGTCCTCTAACTGCACTGTTGGGGGAGTGTGCACTGGCCTAGGTGTGCCCCCGTCCTATGTGGGGAGGGTGTATGGTGTGGTCAAGGCCTACACCACCCGGGTAGGCGTTGGAGCTTTCCCCACTGAGCAGGACAATGTGAGTGGATAGAATTTGTTGTGCGGAATCAATGTTGTGTGCTAAGCCTTGCAGTATGAATTTGTTGTGGCATAAACATACTATCTCTTCCAGTACTTCATATTTACATTCAGTTTTATAGTGAATCCCATATCTAACTGCTGTTGTTTTGGTCCAGGAGGTTGGCAACTTGTTGCAGTCCAGAGGGAGGGAGTTTGGTGTGACGACGGACAGACGGCGCCGCTGTGGCTGGCTGGACCTGATTCTGGTCAGATACGCCCACATGGTCAATGGCTTCACTGCGTAAGGCTCAGTCTCTCCTGCTTGTGTCCTCCTTTCTGTATGTGTTCCATACTGTATGCATTGTAATTATTGGAGTGCAGTGTTCAGCCTCCTATGTTAAATTGCTGTCCACATATTCCATAATCATGTTTGACACGACTGTTCCTCTCCCACAGCATCGCTCTGAACAAGCTTGACATCCTGGACACGCTGCCAGAGATCAAAGTCGGTGTAGCCTACTCTGTTGATGACGAGCCCCTTCCCAGTTTTCCTGGTAAGTTTCTCCCTGTCTAGGAGGACTAATCTTGTCTTGCTCCTTTCACATTACCATTAGACACTTGATTTGGCTTGACCTGTGCACTGGGGAGACTCCCATCTCATTCCCTCTCTCCCTCTGTAGCCAATATGGACGTGCTGACACGGGTGTCAGTGAAGTATGAGACACTACCTGGATGGTGCTGCAGCACTGAGGATGTGAGGTGCTTTGAGGAGCTGCCCTCTCAGGCACAGAGCTACATCCGCTTCATCGAGGACTTCTTGCAAGTGCCAGGTTAGTCAAGAAAAAAAGGATTTATGGTGATTTTTAAGCAGCCTTACTAAAACAATCCTTATTTTTATAATTGATGATAATATATTCACTGTGAATTTTGTTTCACTTTCAGTGAAATGGGTTGGAGTTGGGAAATCCAGAGAGAGTATGATCAAGCTGTTCTGATCAGTTGGGGGTTTGGTAACTGATGACCAATTGGGTTTCTCGCCATCACAACAGCTGCTTCAGACAATAATTATGTTTTGTTGATGAATACTTTGACTATAAACCTTGGGTTAAAGTCCCAAAGTCTGTTTTGCAGAAAATAAAAACATCACCAGCAACGTTGTTAGTGAAACTAAGTAACCTTTTGGGAGGTTCACTTTCACATCAACTCTTCTGAACAGTAATGTATAACCTGCATTCCATAGCTTTCTTTTGTTCTGATATGACAGAAGCCATTATTGGGATATTATGGTGTTCATCCTCCGTAGCTAATGGACAGGGTTAAAACCTTAAACACCTGCAGTAACCATCCCAGGCTTCCATCAACCTTTTCATTCCATTTCATTGAACTAGTATAGTAAAACACGTTTTACAACTCAGTAGGAGTTCTTTTTTTTCTTTTCTTTTTTTTTAAGCTGTATTTTAAAATGACCACACCTTGTAGTACATTTTTTGCACAATCTTTACTTAAAGGGATACTTTGGGATTTTGGCAATGAGGCCCTTTATCTACTTCCCCAGAGTCAGATGACTAGTATGCTAGCAAGTACCCATAGACTTCCAGTCATTGCGCCAACGCTAGTTAACACTGGCTCGTGAAACTACCTTTAACTTCCTTCATACTGGACACAGAGACATACAAATGGTATCAACTAGTTCATCTGGCGAAGTAGATAAAGGGCCTCATTGCCAAAATCCCAAAGTATCCCTTTTAAGGGTTGTGAAACTAGACCAATGTTTAGAGGCCTTGTAATTAGGTCTTTCTATGAGCTGGCATGTTGTATGAATGAATTATAGGCATGATCTGAGATGCAAAAGGGATGCTGTCTTAAAGCCTTAGTTTCATATTGATCATTAAGATCAAGAACTTGGGATTGCACACGAACACACTGGTTGGTGTTTAGAAAATAAATGTAGAAAACAAGGGAGGAACTCCACGTTAATAATGTATATACAAACTACACAAATATTTTCCATAACATTTCATTCAGTGTAATTAAAAAAGGAAACAGTATGCTTCTTCTCACCTGTTACAACCCTAAAATTAGCAATAAAATACTGTCATTGCTATTCTGTTTTGAGTTTTTTTGTTGATAGTATTAATCATGTGTATTTGTTTACTTTTCAATATATGTGGAGTAATTGGTCTGCTGTCTGATAACAACAGTCATTGATATGACTCTTTATTTGTAAACATTAACAAGTACTTTTTCAAGACTGGCCGTGTTCGAGAGCATTAAGTCCATGATACATTTTTGGTAAATGGTGACTGACTGACCTACAAATAAGGAGTAGTTATTTATGATGCAAGGTGATTTGTAGATCAGTCAGTCGTCGGTTTCCTGCCCTGTCGGCTGCAATGTTGAACAAGCCCTATTTCTATACCTGTTCTCTGGTGTTAATCACCACTACGAACCGTGACCAGTCCATACACTGACATCATCTCATAGACATATCACACCACTGAGCCGAGCCATTCAAGCTTCAAATGTAATTTTATTTGTCACTTGCTTCGTAAACAACAGGTGTTGATATAACAGTGAAATGCTTTCTTACGGGCCCTTCCCAACAATACAGAGTGAGAAAAAATGGAATAATAAAAGTAATAATAAATACACAATGAGTAATAACTTGGCTAAACACACGGGGTACTAGTACTGAGTCGATGTGTATGGGTACCAGGTAATTGAGGTAGATATGTACATATAACTAGGAATAAAGTGACTAGTCAACAGGAACGCTAATAAACAGTAGCAGCAGCATAAGTGATGAGTCAAAGTTAGTGCAAAAAGGGTCAATGCAGATAGTCCGGGTAGTTATTTGGTTAACTACACTGAACAAAAATATAAACGCAACAATTTCAAAGATTTTACAGAGTTACAGTTCATATAAGAAAATCAGTCGATTGAAATTAATTAATTAGGCCCTAATCTATGGATTTCACATGACTAGGAATACAGATATGCATCTGTTGGTCACAGATACCTTAAAAAAAAAAAGGTAGTGGCATGGGATCAGAAAACCAGTCAGTATCTGGTGTGACCATTTGCCTCATGCAGCGTGACACATCTCCTTTGCATAGAGTTCCTCAGGCTGTTGATTGTGGCCTGTGGAATGTTGTCCAACTCCTCTTCAATGGCTGTGTAAAGTTGCTGGATATTGGCGGGAACTGGAACACGCTGTCGTACACGTCGATCCAGAGCATCCCAAACATGCTCAATGGGTGACATGTCTGGTGAATATGCAGACCTCTAAAACAACGTTGGAGCCGGCTTATGGTAGAGAAATTAACATTACATTTTCTGGCAACATTCTGGTGGACATTCCTGCAGTCAGCATGCCAATTGTGCACTCCCTCAAAACTTGAGACATCTGTGGCATTGTTGTGTGACAAAACTGCACATTTTAGTGGCCTTTTGTCCCCAGCACAAGGTGCACCTGTGTAATAATCATGCTGTTAAATCAACTTCTTGATATGCCACACCTGTCAGGCGGATGGATTATCTTGGCAATGGAGAAATGCTCACAAACAGCGAAGTAAACAAATTTGTGCACAAAATTTGAGAGAAGTTTTTTCTGTGTATGGAATATTTCCGGGATCTTTTATTTCAGCTCATGAAACATGGGACCAACACTTTACATGTGAACCATAGTTTTTGACAGTCTTTGAAATTGTTTTGCTTGCACTGCACTGTCCTGGTTAGAACCACCATTTGACAATGTGAAAATAAAATATCCAGTACAGATAATTATTTGATCCCATGTATATATTTAGGCTGAATTTATGAGGACTAATCTCTGCCACTGTGTTTGGGCTCTACAGAAACCATGCATGAATGGACAGGTCTGAATTGGTCCTACTGGGTTTCCATACAACGTAATGTGATAATGTCGCCGTGACGCTGATCTCAGGGTATAGAGGAAGAACCCATAGCCTTAGTAATGCCGAAGATTTTTTATAACTAACCCAAGATAGACCACAGCCTGTCGTTTCCAATGGGAAGAAATTAGTCATAGTGGGCAGAACAAGCAAGGAGGTGGGCAGAACCAAGCACGAGCTAGCGATCCTATTGGCGCGTTCTAGCAAACATTTGCATGTTTCCGTTAAGGAACGCCTACTCTGAAGTGCGCGAATGCGTTACTTAAATTCGCCTTTGCACTCCTAAACAAGGCGATTAAAAAAAACTTTGGCAAAGAGTAAAGTCTACAAAACTTAGTCCACTCTGTTCATAACAGATTTTAGTTTTATGAACAGAAAATTGTATTGAGATCAAATGTTTCATCGATGAGAAAATATGCAGAATGTCGTCCAAAATCCATCTCGTTCCTTCTTCTCCCACTGTCGGCCACTGGGCTTCCTCTCACTACCATATTTGATAGTGAGTGGAAACGCCAAGCGGATGCTTCAAATTTATACATCCGGTAAAATATCTGTCTCATTGTGCTATCCATGGTAATGCTGCGTTCAAAACAACTGGGACCTCGGAAAGATACGAGGTAATATCATTACGTCAGAGATCTTCAGGTCGGAGCTCTAGATAATGGCCCGAGTTCCCGAGTTGGATGACCGTTCAAATCGATTTTCCCAGTCGGAGATCGTTTTTTTTCACAGTTCCCAGTTGTTTTGAACGCAGCATCATATTGGAGAACCACTTTTAGCCTATCTTCGTACTGTGCTGTCTTTGGTAGAGTGATCAAATAAAAAATATAAATAAGTAGCTAGCCATCTACTTACCGGTAAGATATTACTGGTATTGAAACTTCACTATGGGTCGAAAAGATACCCCGATAACACATGCTTAATCATGTATCCAGATTGTTTTTGTGGTGCCAATGTTTTTACTGGAACGCTACATACTACAGTAGCGAAGTTAACTGTTACCTAACCTAGTAGTAGCTAGCCAGCTAGCTAGGCTAATTCAGTTTTTGTAGCCAGAATGCTAACTAGCTACTAGCAGCAGGCTTGTTTTGAGAATATTGCCATTCACTCACCATCCACACAAAGCCATTTCTCCATAAGACTCCTGAACAGCTAATCATGGCTACCCGGACTATTTGCACTGCCCCCCCCCCACCCCGTCCCCCTCTTTTTTACGCTGCTGCTACTCTGTTAATTATTTATGCATAGTCACTTTAACTCTACCCACATGTACATATTACTTCAACTACCTCAACTAGCCGGTGCCCCCGCACATTGACTCTACACCGGTACCCCCCTGTATATATAGCCTCCCTACTGTTATTTTATTTTACTTCTGCTCTTTTTTTCTCAACACTTTTTGTTGTTGTTGTTTTATTTTTACTTTTTTTGTTAAAAATAAATGCACTGTTGGTTAAGGGCTGTAAGTAAGCATTTCACTGTAATGTCTGCACCAGTTGTATTCGGCGCATGTGACCAATACAATTTGATTTGATTTGATTATTCTGTTAGCTAGTTAGATTCTCCAAAATTTTGCAAACTAACATCATTTATGAATATTGATGCCGTTGGTCCTAGAATAGTTTGTGGATTCTGAGAGTTAATATTAGCCACCCTCAGCTGTGTGTAAAGAGGTACCTAGCTAGCCAGCTAAAGGTAGCTAACAAAGTAGCTTCTTAATACTTGTTTGCTGTTTTGACCATAATGCGACTGTTACTGTTAGGCCAATCAGATTAACTAACAAGCATGTGCGCCGCCTTCAAGGAATAGACAGCTAGTACATCAACTAGTATTAGGTCAATCAACAAATTGTCATCTGGATTTTACATCATTGGATTGTTCTATTTTGCATTACTGGTCTTTGTAGATATTTTTTGACTTATTTTTACCAGAAGATTCTTGGATGACTTGTTAATAACCCTGACCCTAATGATTGCATTAAGCTATGGGACATTCTAGCTATTTGCATATCAGGCACATTATGTAACAGTACTTTATGCTTATTCTGGGAATCAGGATTTGGTGAGGGCCTGGAAAACTATTTTACCTAACAGTCACTTACCTCGCATATTGGTTATCAATTTTCCATTGACTACTCTGTTCTTTTATCTTTTAGTAAACGAGGGGAAATAAGTCTGTCTTCGGAAATAGTCTTGTAGACTAGTCTATCAATGTATTGATTGCAACACTCAAACACAGGAAGTTCATTAAGAGGAATAGTCTCGTTTTACTTTCTTTGCTGAGTGTCTGTATATAGTTGGTCGGGGGGCTTTATCCTATCCTCAACAACACAAGTGAAACAGTCTCCTTGTTGACAGCCTAGCCGCTACTGTCTCATTTCAGACGCAGTGCTTCCTGGGACAGTTTTTGATGTGCTTGTCATCATGGTTCTACAAGTCTTTTTGATGGATCTATAACAGTATTCTTACTGGAGTCAGGTGAATCAAACCCAAATAAAATTGTATTGGTCACATGCACTGAATACAACCAGTGTAGACTTGAAAATCTGTGAAATGCTTACTCACAGGCCCATTTCTAACAGTGCAGAGTTAAACAGTAAGACAAATATTTGCTAAATAAAATAGGAAATGGTAACACAATAAAAACAATGAGGCGATATACGAAGAGTACCAGTACCGAGTCAATGTTCAGGGGTACAAGGAAATTGAGGTAATATATTATGTACATGTGGCTAGGGGTAAAAGTTAGTAGGCAGTCAGGATATATAATAAACAGAGTAGCAGCTGCGTATGTGAAGTGTGAAAGTGTGTCTATGTGTGAGTGTGTGTGTGAGCATATGTAGTGTGTGTGAGGATGTGGGTAGACTCTAGTGAGTGTGCATAGAGCCAGTGCAAGGGAGTCAGTGCAAAACAATTAAGATAAATAAATAATAAAGGGTGTCAATGGAAAATTGTCCGGGTAGCCATTCTATTAACTGTTCAGCAGTCTTATGGCTCGGGGGTAGAAGCTGTTCAGGTGCCTTTTGGTCACAGACTTGGTTCTCCGGTACCGTTTGCCGTGCGGTAGCAGAGAGAACAGCCTATGACTTGGATGGCTGGAGTCATTGACAATTTTTAGGGTCTTCCTCTGACACCGCCTGGTATACAGGTCCTGGATGGTAGGGAGTTCGGCCCCAGTGATGTACTGACATTTGAAGTGGGACTCTGTGTTTTCTCTAACAGGTAATGTGTCTGAGCATCCATGAACACGCGTCGTTGCCACGGTCCTAGGAACAGTCAGGAAGGGGTGAACCTAGGACCTGCCCAGACCCAGTCACCACTGATCCAGCTACAGGACCCACAACTCACAGTGCCCAGCCTACGTCCACCTGCCCCACTGGTGGACATAAGCAACATGTCTGTCATGGACCGCACCAATGAGTTCCAGTCAGTCTGCAGGTCACTACAGGGGAGACAGGTAAGTCAAATGAGCAACATAGAAAGGCCATGTATGTATGTTATGAACTACTATCAACTGTCGAGAATCAAAACATTCTCTAGCTTCCCTACAATGTGTGTGGATGTACTTTACAATTGCACACGACCCAGTTTAATTTCACTGATCAATGTTGATTGAGGTTCCTTTTTTTCCAGAATGGGGTCCAGTCCAGTAAGCCAGCCCTCAGTGCAATCAGACAACACAGTGACTTTAACCTCTTGGCAAAGTTAGTAGCATTACACTGTGTTATTAACATGTTGAATATAAATAATAATGAGAACAGATACATGTTGTTATATACAGCCCCTCTATCAGTATCCATATAGCCAACTCAACTGTTTGTTTCTTTCTATTTAACAGGAGTATTGGGAAGGATTTGAGTAACACTTTTGCCAAACTAGAAAAACTCACAATACGTAAAGAAGCAACCTCTTTAAAGTGATTTTTTTTAGAATATAGTTGGTGTCCACAATGTGGTTATGGATATGTAGCTTACTGCTTCTTATCTTTCCTAGTTGCCAAAAGGAAATCCCTCTTTGACGACAATGCTGTGGAGATTGAGGAGTTAACCTACATCGTTAAACAGGTGAGGAGAGACGTAGGCCTATAGTAGATTCCATCATTATGCAGTGTTATACTACAGTGTTTATATTTACAGAAGGCTATTCAAGCACACTTCAGGCACACCTTTTTAGATACCTTTTGAGATGTTAAAGTGTTAGTAAAAGTAAACTGTCTATTTTTATTTCCTTTGTCCAGGACATAAACAGTTTGAATAAACAGATAGCACAGCTGCAGGGCCTTGTGCGTGCCAGACAGAGTCAGAATGGCAAACATCTACAGACACATTCCAGCACCATCGTTGTCTCACTCCAGGTAACTTCCATGCTCTGGCATTCTGATATGTCCACTGGTTTTATCCCATGTAGAATAGTACATGTAACTTTTCCATGTAGCATTCATTTCATAATCGCCTTTTTCTGTTGTAGTCAAAACTGGCATCAATGTCAAACGACTTCAAGTCCGTGCTGGAGGTCAGGACAGAGGTAAGGCATGCTGGCACACACACATCTTTTCACAGTAAATCTTTTGACCAGCCTAGTTTTGAGTTCATGTTCCATGTACAGTGGGGTCCGAAATTATTGACACCCTTGAGAAAGATGACTGTATAAAATAAATAATTCAAATACTGAGCTACATGTAACTGCCAAAATAAAGGAAACACACAGGTGTGGTTCCTAAGTTAGGGTCGTGTATAAAAATGCTGGGCAGGCCATTATTTTGACTACCATGGCTATGTCCCCATATAATTAAAATGACCCATCCACAGGGCACGAGTGATCACTGAATGGTTTGATGAGCATGAAAACAATGTAAACCATATTCCATAGTCGTCTCAATAGCCAGATCTCAACCCAATTAAACACTTATGGGAGATTCTGGCACAACGCCTGAGACAACCTAATTATGGAATTTATGGCGCATCCCACCAATAGAGTTCCAGACACTTGTAGAATCTATGCCAGGGTGCATTGAAGCTGTTCTGGCCCATGGTGGCCCAACACCCTATTAAGACACTATGTTGGAGTTTACTTTATTTTGGCAGTTACCTGTATTTTGTATGCTAAAAAATGTGGGAAATTATATTATTTTAAACTAATACAATTGTTCAGAGAAAGAGATTTTGTTTAGCAAATAAGACTTTTTTTCTCAAAAAGGAAGGGGTAAAAATTATTGACACCCCTGTTTTCAATACCTTTCAATACCTCACCTTGCGAGGATAACGGCACTGATACTTTTTCTTAAAGGCTTTATGAGTTGGAGAACACATTGGGAGTGATCTTAAACCAATCCTTTATACAGAATTATTTCAGATCATTGATCTCCTTCGTCTGCGCTTATGGACTGCCCTCTTCAATTCAAACCAGAGGTTTTCAATGGGTTTCAAGTTCGGCAACTGAGATGGCCATTGCAAAATGTAGATTTTTGTGGCCAATTAACCCTTTCTTTGTGGATTTTGATGTGTGCTTGGGGTTATTGTCTTGCCGGAAGATCCACATGTGGCCAAGTTTCAGCCTCCTGGCAGAGGCATACAGGTTTTTGCCAAAATATGCTGGTACTGGGTAAAGTTCATGATGCCGTTGACCTTAACAAGGGCCCCATAACATCAAAGATCCACCACCATATTTCACAGTAGATATTGGGTTATTTTCTGCTCATGCATTCTCATTTCAACGCCAATCCCACCACTTATGTGCGTGGCCAAAGAGCATCCTACAAATGTAAACACCTGGAGTTTGCTAAACGGCATTAGCACTTGGATTGGAACCGGTGCTTTGGACAGATGACATGAAAATAAAGCTCTTTGGCCACGCACATAAGTGGTGGGTTTGGCGTTGAAATGAGAACCCCTACCTCTTTGAGAAAACACATTAGTTGTTAAACAGCTGGTTGTTTTATCAAGGGTTACCACTGTATATTTGTTGGTTTATAAACAGTTTTAAACATTGATTTTCTTCTCGCCCCCACACTCTTTTCCCTTTGCAGAACCTCAAAGAGCAGAAGAGTAGAATAGATCCGTTTTCTCAAGCTCCAGCATCCTCCTTCCATATCCATACCAGCAACTTCAGTGAGGAAAAACTCTTATCAGCTCTAATTTACGAAACAACAGGAAATAGGACAACCTGACTTACTACTCTCTCGTAGGTAACTCATTGTTAATGCAGGACGACTCTAAAAAGACAGCTGAAGTCTCTATAGACTTCCGCGCCAGTCAACAGCTGCAGCTCATCAATAAACAGGTATTACCTCCTCTTGATTATGTGGCGTTAAAGTGATGGTGACAATAATAACAATTGCATTTAAAGCTTGACACACAGTCCGCTTGAAATACAAACGCTTTTATTGACTTGTTTCTGGATTCATGTGTAAATCAATAATACTGGTTGTTGCTAAATAATTGGCATTCATGCTAAGTGGTCTAACTCATGTGGTGTGTGTTTGTACAGGACTCTTACATCCAGAGCCGTGCAGACACCATGCAGAACATAGAGACCACCATTGTAGAGCTGGGCTCTATATTCCAGCAGCTGGCCCACATGGTGAAGGAGCAGGAAGAGACTGTGCAGAGGTGAGGGAGAAATGGGAAGATGACAGAGAGACTGAGATTATCAAGCTGCTGGTAGAGATGCTTTGTCCCTGATATGACATAGTTGTTCTGGTGTTTTGTTGAGATCATATATCTAACTATGATCAGATGGGGCGTGGTAAGCAGGCTAATGAAACCTCTCACTCATTGTCCTCCCCTTTTCCCATCCTCTTTCCTGCAGAATTGACGCCAATGTGGACACCCAGCTCAACGTAGATACGGCACATTCAGAGATCCTCAAGTACTTTCTGTCTGTCTCATCCAACCGCTGGCTCATGGTCAAAATCTTCATCGTCTTTGTGGTCTTCTTTGCCTGAGGACCAGGAAGCACTTGGCTAAGAATGAGAGGAAGGAGGATGAGAAAGGGAGGAATTGTGCTGGAGGAGAGTAGAGTGGGGAGGAAAGAGATGGGGAACAGAGGAGTAGCTGGAAGGGGAGGTGGGGAACAGAGGAGTAGCTGGAAGGGGAGGTGGGGAACAGAGGAGTAGCTGGAAGGGGAGGTGGGGAACAGAGGAGTAGCTGGAAGGGGAGGTGGGGAACAGAGGAGTAGCTGGAAGGGGAGGTGGGGAACAGCGGAGTAGCTGGAAGGGGAGGTGGGGAACAGAGTAGTAGCTGGAAGGGGAGGTGGGGAACAGAGTAGTAGCTGGAAGGGGAGGTGTGTTCCCTCTTTGTTTCTCCTTGTGGTTTAAAGAAAAGACCACTACTAACAGAAAATTATATATGTGTCAGGATGCAGTTATGTTAATAATAGCTGCATGGTAGGTAGAAAGGAGATGTCAAATATTATTATTATCCTCCATTGTAAGTAAATAGATGATGAAAATGATGATGATGATGATGATAACTATGATGCAGGATAGAAGACTATTGCAGTTGGATTAAAACTATTTCTTGTGTTCAAATCAAATCAAATTTCATGCATACTTTCTGTAATTTGTAGAAAACATTCCTACTTCGTGAAGGACCGGGTCAATCCAAAGAGAAATTGAGTTTGAAAAGGACACTGGTAGAAATAAAAATGGTTTGAACGGTGACAGCGGTCATTTGGCTGACCAATAACATCATCCAAAATTCCATGACCATCACAGCCCTACCGGTTATTTAAATTAAGTTAAATCATGGTCTGCACATAACACCTGATGAGTGATGTTTTACAGACAGTGTTCTCCATCCCCCCCACCCCTACACACGACCCCATCTCTTAAAGAGAAAAAAAGAACACATATTTATAGATGTTCAGTAAACAAACTTTCACATGAATCTTTTTAAATCTCGGGTTGTATCTGTGCCCCTGAGGTATCTGTAAAATGAAATGAATTGTTGAAACGCTTGAAATTCTGATTTGTTATGTCTCCAGAGCAGAGGAGGCTGGTGGGAGGAGCTATAGGAGGACGGGCTCATTCTGGAATGGAATAAATGGAACGTATGAAACACATATATTGAATATAATGAAACCACATGTTTTGCTCCGTTCCATTTATTCCATTCCAGAATGAGGCCATTCTCCTATAGCTCCTCCCACCAGCCTCCACTGCTCTAGAGTCCTTTTTGTTCAAGAGAATGACTGAGACACTGATTTTTTTTCTTCTAATATACAAACTCACCTGCTTGGCTCAAATTCTGGAGCCCAGAAATGTTGGAATGGAAATGTTCAGGATTTTTCCACTTTTCAGTTACTGTTTTACCCATTTGCTCTCCTCTGTCTTTGGACATCTTGGAGGAAGTATTGTAGGTCACAGCAAATGTTATTGATATCCCTCATTCCCCGCTTTTGTTGCAAATCATGAGTAATGTAAAAGCGAAAATAAATAACTTTTAAAGTTTTGTTTTTTCATTGTCAATCAAAATGTGCTTATGTTTTAGTGAAGTCACTGACATAATGGTAACTGCCAAAATAATGGAAACACTTGAGTAAATCAGGGATACAAAGTATATTGAAAGCAGGTGCTTCCACACAGGTTTGGTTCCTGAGTTAATTAAGCAATTAACATCCCATCATGCTTAGGGTCATGTATAAAAATGCTGGGCAGGTCATTTTTCTGGTTGCCATGGCTATGACCCCATAGGATGACAATACCCCCATCCACAGGGCATGAGTGGTCACTGAATGGTTTGATGAGCATGAAAATTATGTAAGCCATATGCATCACCAGATCTCAACCCAATTGAAAACTTATGGGAGATTCTGGCAGCGGCGCCTGAGAGCGTTTTCCAGCACCATCAACACAACACAAAATGATGTAATTTCTCGTGGAAGAATGGTGTCGCATCCCTCCAATAGAGTTCCAGACACTTGTAGAATCTATGCCAGGGTGCATTGAAGCTGTTCTGGCCCGTGGTGGCCCAACACCCTATTAAGACACTTTATGTTGGTGTTTCCTTTATTTTGGCAGTTACCAATAGGTTTAGTGTTCATTCTAAATGAGTGAGAAACAGTTTGTTTACATCCTTTGGAAGCTGAATAGTTTATTTACATTTCTGATTAATTTACATAGGCATGAATTTCAGAATAATGACATCTTCCATTAGGAAACAGAATAAACTGTTGTATATTGGCACTATTATAAGTTCAGTGATATGTGTCTTGTAGCTCTGATAATGAGGTTAGCCCCCAGTTTGACCTCTTGTCTTCTCATAAACTAGACATAACATAGTAAATAGTAGTCCCGTGTAGCTCAGTTGGTAGAGCATGGCACTTGCAACGCCAGGGTTGTGGGTTCGTTTCCCACGGGGGGCCAGTATGAAAAATGTATGCACTAACTGTAAGTCACTCTGGATAAGAGAGTCTGCAAAATGACTAAAATGTAAATCTGGGACACACAAATTAGTATGATATGTTACGTTTGGTATCGTTACAAAAGATAGAAGGCTACTTAAGGCAAAAACGAAGTAGGGTGTTTGGTCGAGCGTATAACGCAAACATTTAGCAACTAAAAGGTTGCGTGTTCAAATCTCATCACGGGCAACTTACTACTTTTTAGCTCCTTTGCAACTACAGTACATAGCATGTTAGCTAACCCTTCCCATAACCTTAACCCTTTAACCTAACTCCTAACTTTAAACCCTAACCCATAGCCTAGCTAACGTTACCCACCTAGCCAAAGTTTGCGGTAGCCACAACAAATTGGAATTCGTAACATACCATACATTCTGAAAATGTGTAACATATTGTATAAATTGCAATTCGTAACATATCATGCAAATTGTAATTCGTAACATATCAAACGAAATGGATGATGGACATCCACAAATTAATACATATCCATATGAAACGTAACATATCAAACTAATTGGAGTGACCCAGATTTACATGTACTATGTTATGTCTACCCCTGAGTCCAGGTTGCTCAGGCATGCTCCTACACCTCCTGTTGACCTCTATGGCTGCCTCTCCTCTCCTCCTCATCTCTGGACCACCCTTCCTGTCCTGCTGTGTTCCCCTGGCCTGCTGTCCTGCTCCACATGGGGTTGACTCAGGTGTGGAAGGTGATGGAGGAGAGGCTCTTGCTGCATTTCGGGCTCCAGGGGGCGGCCCTAACTCTCATGTCCTCGTCTCCCTCCACCTTGTCCAAGCAGTCACACAGCACTGAGCCGAAGATACGGGACACCTCGCCCACCTCCGGCTCCAACTCTGTCACCAGCTTCCTTGTCCTAGACATGACGAAGATTATGTATAGAGAAAAAGAGAGAGAATGGTGAGTTTTATAGTTCATGGCTGTGATGACTTGAAGTGACATTGTCTGTCATGACTGTTTATAACCTCCCCCTACCTCAGTATGACAGGTCCACACTTGTAGAAAGGGATTTTGTCACAAACGTCCTGGAGCTCTATTAGTTCCCCAGGGGTGAGAGTGAATGTGCGCGTTTGAGCAGATCAGTATTGTCAATTAGGTGACCTGTGTTGGTGACCATCGCCTGACTTGCAACTGCATGTCGACTGCATGAACTTTACAAAAATCATGTGATCAAAGGTCACGCTGCAGTTGCTTCTCATCAACTGCACCATGCAGCCATCACCTGCATTGTGGGAGGCACTATACAGTTGAAGTCGGAAGTTTACATACACTTAGGTTGAAGTCATTAAAACTCGTTTTTCAACCACTCCACATATTTCTTGTTAACAAACTATAGTTTTGGCAAGTCGGTTAGGACATCTACTTTGTGCATGACACAAGTAATTTTTCCAACAATTGTTTACAGACAGATTATTTCACTTATAATTCACTGTATCACAATTCCAGTGGGTCAGAAGATTACATACACTAAATTGACTGTGCCTTTAAACAGCTTGGAAAATTCCAGAAAATGATGTCATGGCTTTAGAAGCTTCTGATAGGCTAATTGACATCATTTGAGTCAATTGGAGGTGTACCTGTGGATGTATTTCAAGGCCTACCTTCAAACTCAGTGCCTCTTTGCTTGACATCATAGGAAAATCAAAAGAAATCAGCCAAAAGAAATCAGCCAAAAAATGTGTACACCTCCACAAGTCTGGTTCATCCTTGGGAGCAATTTCCAAACGCCTGAAGGTACCACGTTCATCTGTACAAACAATAGTACGCAAGTATAAACACCATGGGACCACGCAGCCGTCATATCGCTCAGGAAGGAGACACATTCTGTCTCCTAGAGATGAACGTACTTTGGTGTGAAAAGTGCAAATCAATCCCAGAACAATAGCAAAGGACCTTGTGAAGATGCTGGAGGAAACAGGTACAAAAGTATGTAAATCCACAGTTAAACGAGTCCTATATCGACATAACCTGAAAGGCCGCTCAGCAAGGAAGAAGCCAATGCTCCAAAACCGCCATAAAAAAGCCAGACTACGGTTTGCAACTGCACATGGGGACAAAGATCGCACTTTTTGGAGAAATGTCCTCTGGTCTGATGAAACAAAAATAGAACTGTTTGGCCATAATGACCATCGTTATGTTTGGAGGAAAAAGGGGGTGCTTGCAAGCCTAAGAACACCATTCCAACCGTGAAGCACGGGGGTGGCAGCATCATGCTGTGGGGGTGCTTTGCTGCAGGAGGGACTGGTGCATTTCACAAAATAGATGGCATCATGAGGAAGGACAATTATGTGGATATATTGATGCAACATCTCAAGACATCAGTCAGGAAGTTAAAGCTTGGTTGCAAATGGGTCTTCCAAATGGACAATGACCCCAAGCATACTTCCAAAGTTGTGGCAAAATGGCTTAAGGACAACAAAGTCAAAGTATTGGAGTGGCCATCACAAAGCCCTGACCTCAATCCTATAGAAAATGTGTGGGCAGAACTGAAAAAGCGTGTGCGAGCAAGGAGGCCTACAAAC